ACCCCCACAAAATGTCTCTGGTATATGGTTGTTCATTATTCTTGTTATTTTCTCACCTGGTCCATTATACTCCTGCTATGAGTGAAACCATCCGGTATTTTACTACTTGCTAATAATTTAAGGGACAACATGTTTCACCCAATTGAGAGGCAGGACGGAAGGGCCAGTTGGCTGCAACACCTGTTGCCCCACTGATCGCCAGTGTTGATCTGGCTGATCTGGCTGACTGGGCAGCTATCCCTTTCTTGCCTCATCCACCCAGGTGCGTCCTACCAAGGCTGTGTGCTTGGTCAAAGAGGACAGACAGCCTTCCCTGAACAGACATGGACCATTGTGGGTCAAAGGTATGAAACAGCTGTGCTTCCCTGCTAGAACTTTCCAATGGGTCAATTGAAAAGCATTTCTGATGATACATCAGGAGAAAATGACAAATGATGGCATTCGTTCATATTTAATAATATTTCTAAGATCTGATTACAGTTGTTGGCAGTGGGTGTGTGTTGCAGGCCAGTGTTTGTGAAAGAATTGCTTGCATTTCACCTTTGCAGTGTATCTGGGAAGGCATGAAAGGGTGGTGGTGTTGCATTCTCACTGGCACACCTGGCTGCATTTCTGCCAACTCTTACAGGGCCAAGTAGTGGATGGTTTGCTTAGGATGAAAATGACAGCACACCTGTGTGAAATGTCGGAGATAATGGAAGAATATCTTAAAGGAAACACAATGGTTATAAAAGCCAGTGTTCTCCAGAAAAACAAAACTCATAGAAAGTATAGTATGTATGAAAAGACTTATAAGAAATTGGCTCACTCAGTTATGGGCTGAGAAGTCCAGGCCCAGAAAAGCCTGGGACCCTGGGTATGGAAACCAGGAGAGTTGATACCATTTGTCCTCGTCTAAATCTGAGTGAAGGGCAGGAGCTAGATGTCTCAGCTTGGAGATGGGGGAGAGTAAAGGCTTTTCTTACTCAGTCTTTTAGTCTATTTAGGCCTTCAGTGGGGCTGGGTGAGGCCCAATCAGGGAGAAGAACAATCTCCTTTTCCCAAGTCTACTTATTCATATGTTCACTTGATGTAGGAACACTGTCAGAGTCATGTCCAGAATAACATTTAACCACACATCTGGACATCTAAGATCCTAGTAAAGCTGACCTATAAAACTAACCATCACAATGGCTTCCTACTAATAAGACAGAGTCCAGCATCTGTAAGATCCAGTATCTAGAAGATCAAGGAAGCATCACAAAATTCCTATTGTTCCAACCAAACGGTCATTCATTAGAGTTTCTTTTACATGACCATCTCTACCTTGGAAGAATCGCTTTGCACCATTGTTTTCTCTAGGGGCAGGGAGGTGAGAAGGAGAGAAGAACTAAAACTAAAAATCTGGAATTATCTTAGAATCTCTTTTCCCCTGGCCACATTCTGGTAGTTTAACAATTTTATCCCATAGATGTTTCTCCTGCTGAGATGAATATTTATAAATTGTATTTGCTTGTGAACATGTTGACTTCCTGATGTCCAGGAACCTTCTCTAAGCTGTTTGGCACAAAGAAATACATAGGGAACTTACTTAAAAAAAGAAAAGGAAGTCTGAGTCATTTTGTGAGGACAGATAATATAGCCCACATGTATCACTTCTGTAGGAATTCTGTTGTCAGATGTTTCATTGCTTGTGGAAAAGGCCCTGTGGTACTTGATCTGGTGGGAAGACCATGGTGTGCGCCTGTGGTTCTGATGGTCAGGAACGGCCCAGCACATCCCCAGGGACGTGTGGAGGGACAAGGCATGGAGCAGGTTTGCAAGGCAAGAATCTGCTCTCAGTGAGCAGCGCTCTAGCTATTTATCAGCAGTAATGAAGAAGCAGGATTGGAAGCACCAGTTTTGGGAGGAGCAGGGTTCAGGGGAAACAAGGAGTAATCAACTTCATGGGGAAATGCAGGGGACATGTTGGCCATGTATACAAGGAGGATTCCTGTGCAGGTGCCTGATGTAATCTCTAAGCTACTCTCAGACTACCTCAGACCAGGGCCACACAGACAGTCAATGGCCAGTTAGGCTCCCAGCTGCCTCACTGTGGGTCACTGTGTTAAGGCGTCATGTGGGAGAGCCTGATCCAGTTCTTTCACACACTCACAGGTGCATGGAGAGGCCATATACATGAGGCACAGAGGCCCCAAGACATACAGAAGCCACATGTGGTGGGGCTACTGGGCCTGAGACCTGTGTGGTTTTAGCACTGCCTGACATTAGGGCCTGTCAAGATGAAACATTTTGAATAAGACTTCAAATATTGACATTGCTTTGAAGCCTACCCCACACATCTTTGAAACTTGTGTGAACTGTTTTAAGAGCCTCTAAAAAATGAATCTCAAGAGTGAGTCAATTTAGACTTGTCCTAATTTATAAGAGTAAGTGGTTTACCAAAAGCAGCTTATGTGTGTCTATTCTCAGATACTTTGATCTTCAGTGGGGCTGTAACAATCTACTGATGTTCCTCTGCATGGCTAGACACTAGGAGACATATATTATAAATATTTGAGTTTATATTACCTCTTCTAATATTTCTATGTAGCAAGTCTAAATGCAACTTTATGTTAAAATATGAGTTCTCTCACAGTGCTTAGGTGAAGATCTGCCTTATTTTCCTACCTATTTTGTTGGTAGTAATTCACTTTGAGGTAATTTAAAAGCACATCACCTGTGCTTAGGACTTGAGAGTAGGATGAGATTGTAACCGATGGGTGTATTTTATTTTGAAATTTTTTCTATTACGGTAACATTGGTTTGCAGCACTGTATGAGTCAGGAACAGAGGATCCCACCTCGCCAGGTACACCACACCACACGCACCCCACCATGCACCCAGGTTCCTGCACCAGGGTCTGTGTGCCCCTGCCTCCTTCACCTTCACCCTCCCCTCAGGGAGCCTCAGCTTTACAGTCAGATTTTCTTCACGTAGCATTCTCCTCTCCAGTCTTACCCATGTTGTTGCAAATGGCAGGAGTTCCCCATTTTATTTTTGGTCATAGCTGAGTAGTATTTCCTTATTGAATATACCATATCTTTCTAATCCACTCATCTGGCGTTGGCCACAGAGGTTGTTTCCAGAACTTGACTGTTGTAAATATTGCTACGACGAGTGTGGGAGGCCTATGTCCCTTCCCATTGATATCTGCGCATTATTCTTGTTGATAGCTTGGATGGCAATTACTGGATCGTATGGTAGTTCTATTCAATTTTTTTAAAGATTTATTTATTTATGCATTCAGAACTGGGGTACAGGCCAGAGGTGCAGGGGTGGTGAGAGGATTCACCAGAGACAGTGGGGAGCAGAACAGGCTGACTGACCAACTACACTGCTGAGGGGAGCAGCAGGCGAAATAGGAGGGGTCTGCTACGCCATGTGGGTCACCTCCACAGCTTGGGATCGAACTCGTACTGAAGTGGCTGTGGCTGCATAATGCTGTGCTTTAACCCAGTGTGCCACCATGGACGGCCCCGGTAGTTCTATTTTCACTATTTTGATTAACCTCCACAGTGTTTTCCACAGGGGCAGCACAATGTTTTCCACAGTTTGCAGTACAGAGGGGATATTTTGAAGTGCAGAACTACTGAGGAATAGTGTCCTACCCCCATCCACTCCCCACCCCACCTCTGCTAAATGAACAACAAGGTTCAGAAGCTTTACTACATGTAAATCACCAGTATTCTACAAATCATACTATAAAAAATAGACAACCCGAAAACTGGGGTATATAATTTATCTTCTGTTCAGAAGACAAGTAAGAATCTCACAGGAGTGCACCACAGGGTCCTCAGTCTGGCAGACAGGGACATGTCCTGGGTCACGCTTGAGCGATGAGTCGTGGAGCCAGTTTGCAAGGCAAGACACTGCTGCCCATGAGCAGCGCTCCTGCTATTTATTTAGCAAGAGTGAACCAGCACGCTTGACTGTGCGACAATAGCAGGAGAAGCCAGGTCCAGGAGTAGCAAGGGGTTTTCGTCTTATGGGGAACAGGTCTTCAAAGGGATCGAAGGGTCAGCAGTTTATTGGGAGCCATGTCAGCCACATGACAGGGAGGATTTCCCGTGCAGGTGCTTGGTGTAACTTCGAGCCACTCCCAGGCTGTCTCGGACCCTGACCACCCAGTCAGTCAGCAGTTACCGGCCACCTCGTGACGTGGGCCATTGTCTCAGGGCAGGCCTGCGGGAACGCCTTGTCCAGACGGTTTGCACACACAGGTGCCCAGTGAGACTGTGGCATGCAGTGCAGAGGCCCTCGGTGGAAGAGGCCACACTTCAGTGAAAGCGGGAGTTGTTAGAGTGAAGCAGGACTGACGTGGATGGTGTTACCAGCTTAGCATCTGTCTGCTGAGGGTGACGGAGGATTCTGTGCAGGACCCGCCATAGCAGTGAACGGTGCGGGCAGGACACTGTAGCTCAAGGAGTACATGTTCTATGAGGGACAATAGACGCGGTGGCCCTGACTATTCTGCTTTAAGGGATACCTTGAGAGCTTCTTTCTTTCTTTCTTTTTTTAAGATTTATTTATTTATGCATACAGAACTGGGGTACAGGCCAGAGGAGCAGGGGTGGTACAGGCCAGAGGAGCAGGGGTGGTAAGAGGATTCACCAGAGACAGAGTGAGGAGCAGAACAGGCAGATCGATGAACTGCACTGCTGAGGGGAACAGTAGGCGGGTCAGGAGAGGTCTGCCGCACCTGTGGATCTCCAGGGCGGGGATCGAACTCATGCTGAAGTGGATTTAACTTCTTAGTGCTATGCTTTAACCCGCTGCACCACAAGGAAGGCTCAAGAATTTCTTTTAAAGGTCTTGGTTCTACCTAGTTTGAATTTTCCTTTGTTTCTCATAAAAAGAGAAAATACACTATGGAAAAACCTGCCTTGAAAAGCCTTTGCAGAAGCAGCTATTTATATATCAGTTGTAGTATCTCGTTTCATATTTCAGAGCTGACAGGTTACTAAGATTGTAGGATGGATTTGCTGTTTCAGGCTTCCCCTTGTGGGGTTCTGAGTACTCCTGGAACTGGAATGCTGTAGATGAGGGGCCGAAGAGGGACATTGTCCAGGAACTTGAAGAAGCCATTCGGAACAGGACGAACCTGCATTTTGGACTCTATTATTCCCTGTTTGAATGGTTTCACCCGCTCTTCCTTGAGGATAAAGCCAGTTCATTCCAGAAGCGACAATTTCCATTCTCCAAGATGCTGCCTGAGCTCTACGAGTTAGTGAACAAGTATCGACCTGAGGTCCTGTGGGCAGATGGTGATGGCGGGGCCCCCGATTCCTACTGGAACAGCACAGGCTTTTTGGCCTGGTTGTACAATGAAAGGTGTGTACACAGTGCGATTGCTGAGAAGACCTTTTGCATGTATGTTTTTATCCGCAACCTTGGTAGTTTTCTGGGTAAAACCTGAAACGGACCCCTTTTCACAGAAGGCAAGGAGAACTTGAAGGAGGTAGAGTCTCCAGATTGGTAGGGACCCAGAGAAGGCTTGTTTAGCGGACCAGCAAGACACATGGCTCTCAGTACCTGCCTGCTAGCATCTTATTAAAGCTTTCACAGAAGCCTTTGACCGGGCTCCGTGTGTGTGTGGTCCAGGTGGTCTCAATTACATGTTGCTCCCTGTGTGTTCTTGAGTATGGCTCCCGCTGGGGAACAGTGGGTGACCCCACATTCTAGAACAAGGTGAGTGGACTGCAATTGTTCTAGTCCAGCTTTCAGGTCCCCGGCAGTCCCATCCAGTCCAGGACCTTCTCCATCAGCGTGAATTTAGCTCCACTTGCTTCTTGATGTTTCCTTTCAGGATCAGGTGTGGGGTGGGACAGGAAATTATTGTAGATATTGCTGATTAGCTGTATCATATTGAAAATAATGAAGAGGAGCACATTAGGAATCAATTTCAACTCAATAGTCTGATTTTGAAATCAGACTAAAAATCACAGGAATGAGAGCAGTGAAGACATTACTTTTTAAAAAAAGATTTGTATTTATGTATGCATATAAGAGCTGGGGTACAGACTAGAGATGCAGGGGGTGAGAGAATTCACCAGAGACAGAGTGGGGAACAGAACAGGCAGATCTACTGAAATACACTGCTGAGGGGAGCAGAGAGCTGGACAGGAGAGGTCTGCTGCGCCATGCAGGTCAGCTCCCTGGCTAGGGATCGAACTCATGCCGCTGTGGCTGGTGACTTGATAGCTAGACTTTAACCCCTGTCCCCCCAGGGAGGCCCTGCAGACATTAATTATATGGGTTGTCCTTTTCATCTATGCTGGTCTTTTATGACCCCTATTCTAGGAACTGGCTTATTCATTACTATTTTTAATTAAATGCTTTAAAGTTCCTCTAGCTCCTTCTTTTCATCCTCTTACCTTTTGATAATCATTACTGCTTTGTCAGTATCACCCGGTCAGTCTCCTCTTCTTGATCATCAGCATTCTCACCTCTTCCAGTTCTTCTGTATTTCTTTTTAGCATGCCCCAGGCTGTACCCTTAGACAAGGGGTTTTAAATGACTGAACTACCCTATTAGGTTTAAACTACAGGGACAAATTTATTTTTTTACGAGAAAGTACTTGATGCTGTGCTAGGAAGTCAGGGGACATTCTGCCTACTTTCCCTGGGTTCACAAAGGGTGCACCAACTTATGCTGAAAGCAGGTTTCTCCAGGTACTCCTTCCAAAGCAAAGAGAGAGGTAGAGGACCCATTTCCGCTGTGAATGCAGACTTCCCCTGTAGGTAGAGAGATGGAGGATGCAGGCACTGGCTTCTGCTATGTGAGATACTGTGGGATATTTCATGTCACAGTGAGTCCCATGATGGCACCAGCCAAGTTTTCTGAGGTTTCTCAATATTTGACACCATTGTAAGAGAAAGAAAATCTAGAACGTAAACACATGTATAAGGTTATTCAGTCCTAGATGTCTGGATGTCTAGAGTGGAAGTTCAGTTTTGGCTTTCATTCAGAATGTGGGAGGAGGCTTCAAATAATAGCATAGTGATAAGTTTAAGTGCTATATGGGCTGGGCACAGGGCTAGGTGTTTTGACATAAATTATTTCTGTAGAAGTTGATTGTGCCGAAGAGCTAGGAACACGTTCTAGGAAAAGTTTGCTTTGAAAGTGCCAGAACCAGGCTGCAATCAGCTGAGGTGTATTTGACTTCAGCATCGTGGGGTTTGCATTATTTTGTGCTATGTTTATAGTTCAGAAGTTGGTTTTCATTAGACCACGTTCCAGTGACATCATTTTGTGTAGAAATAATTTTACTTTTGGTTTGAAAAAGCTACACATTTTCATTTCAGCCCTGTTCGGGACTCAGTAGTGACTAATGACCGCTGGGGAGCAGCTAGCATCTGCAGGCATGGGGGTTTCTACACGTGCAGCGACCGCTACAACCCAGGACATCTTTTGCCACACAAGTGGGAAAACTGCATGACAATAGACAAGCTTTCCTGGGGCTATAGGAGGAATGCTGACATCTGTGACTATCTGACAATCGAAGAATTGGTAAAGGTACAGTGAAATTTCTGGTGACTGTGATGGTAAGAAGCTTCAAAGTGGGTGTGTGGGAATGACTGGGAATTGAGGGTGACCTGTACATAAGATGCTATTGTACCCTCGTATTTTTTCCTCCTAGTTAGTGACTACAGATGCATGTGTCGATAGATATTAAAATACATTCGCCATGGAATCACTTTATTTTATCTAAGAACTACATTTATTTGTTAACTTTACAGCAACTTGTAGAAACAGTTTCATGTGGTGGAAATCTTTTGATGAATATTGGGCCCACACAAGATGGCACCATTTCTGCAATTTTTGAGGAACGATTAAGGCAAATGGGGACCTGGCTAAAAGTCAATGGAGAAGCCATTTATGAAACCCATCCATGGAGATCCCAGAATGACACTGTCACCCCAGATGTGTGGTAAGTTATCTGTGTTACTAAGTACTATTTGAAAGGGAAAATATTTAAATTTCTCAGAGATATAATGAAAGATATAGGATAAAAATAAAATTGGATGAATATCCAATCCAGAGCACAGGACAATTTATTTATTATGTTTTGAACACTATTTATCAAATTGAGCTTAAATCATCCCTAAATACCTCCTCATAGTGGGGAAATTTTAGTGAAAAGTATTCAGTTCCTTCAAAAATTATGTCATTCAGAAATATGCTTATAAGTTATTCCAAAAGATGGTTTAGTCATTTAAATATATCACATCAAATTAGTAAACAAGAGGTGCCAGAGGTCAGAAAAATATTAAAAAGTCAACCAAGGCCCTCCCTGGTGGCGCAGTGGGGTAGAGCACATCACTAAGAAGCTAAAGCCACTTCAGCATGAGTTTGATCCCAGCCCCAGAGATGGCCCATGTTGTGTGGCAGGCCTCTCCTGACCCGCCTGCTGCTCCCCTCAGCAGTGTACTTCGCCAGTCAGTCTGTTCTACTCCCCACTCTGGTCTCTGGTGAAGCCTCTCACCGCCTCTGCACCTCTGACCTGTACCCCAGTTCTGTATGCATAAATGAATAAATCTTTAAAAAAACAACCAAAATAACAGCATCATTTCAATTAAAAAACTTATAACTTGCTCATATTACTCTAAATGTAAACATGTAAAACGTAAACATGAAGTTCCTTGAAAATTATCTTGCTATTATTTCTCTTAACTAGTGTTTTCTTAAAAGCTCAGTGTCAGGCCCTGTCTAGATTTGGTCAAGTTGTGTGGACCAATGAGGGTCTGAATTGGAGTTGCAAATATGATGAAGTGGGGCGTGAACATAAGAGAAATGAGTAGTATTAGTGAAACTCAAATTTCATCTTGTGTCGCCACTAACGTGTTTAAAACCCAATCAACTCTAAATCAAAAGATTAGACTAAATGTTCCTTGAGCTCACTTGACTTATGATTTAAGAGAAATTGTCAACTTACTGAATGAGGCAACTTAATGAATGAGGCAATAAAGCAGAAGCAAATGTGGAAGTGAAGGTTGAGTAGCAGTGTCACCAAGAGCGCTGAGGATCAAGCCTTTTTTCACAGACAAGTGTGAATCTGGTTTTTGAATTTGCTTCTGTTTGTGTTTGAATTGAGGGTGACTGATTTGTGACTTCATGCTCTTTAGCATTACCTTTCAATACCTTTCAATAAAGATAAAAGCCAAGACATGCTAAAAAGTCCTCTAATGCTGTGTCTGACTCCCATTCTCTTCAGGAACCCAGGGGCCCTGTGCTTCTCCTCACTGAAGGTCCCGCAGACCCTTAAAGGGTCCTGTAAAAGCTGAGGCGCAGCTGTCTCTGATCTTGGTGCCAGAGAGTGCTCATGTGTCCTCTCCTTCAGTTCCAGCAACAGTCAAGCATCTGGACAGCTGTTTGCTGTCTTCTGCCTGGAGGCTCTTTTTCCAGATACTCACATAGTTTTCCCTTCTTTAGGTCTCCTCGATACCCCTTCTTCAAAGGTCTTTCCTGACTACTTCTTATAAAAGATCACTCCTTGACAACGTAGCATGCTGTCTTTCTTGTTGACTTTAGTTTATCATGTAGCCCTTCATAATCACCAGATGTTATTTATTTTCTAAACTTTCCCACTACAAAATAAGCTCCAGAGGAAATTTGTTCTGTGCGATACCTTCAATTCTCAAACAGCAATTAGCATTTTACAAATTCAGTTATGTGTTGAATCATTAACTGAATAATTGAACAAATTCTGTTTTCTTTGCTTAGAGTTTATGCTTACATTTTATTTTGCTTTTATTCAGCTTTTGACTCTCAGATTGAATGTTATTTTCTTGACGAGGCTTCTTGCTGATGATCTAAACTTATTACAGCCACCTAATGTCCTTTTCTTACATTGTGTATATCAGAACTTATACTTTTATGTTATTTGTATAGTTAATGTCTGCCTTCCTTACACTAGTCTAAGCTTCATAGACGTTTTCTACTGTTATCACTAACATGGAACACAGCATGAACATGTATACACAGCTGTTGGATGAAGGAAGATAGATTTGCATCTGCTCTTGCATCTGACCTGCTCTGCTCATATTTCTCTATTTTCAACTCCATGAGAAAAATAAGATGAAAATTAGGACTAGCCCAGAAAACTCTGTTCTAAGACCGTCCACAAATTGGGGGGGAAGGAGGAAGGTGTTTTTTACTCCACCATGGGGTCATTTTTCTTCCCTCTATTAATGGAAACACTAAATGAAAATAGTTCTATAAAATAATTCTAAGTCTGACCTACAAACAATGAGAAATATTACTATGCTTTGCCCCCCTTTTTAATCAGGTACACATCCAAGCCAAAAGAAAAATTAGTCTATGCCATGTTTCTTAAGTGGCCCATATCAGGACAATTGCTTCTTGGACAACCCAAAGCCATTCTGGGGGCAACAGAGGTAGGAGGAAATTTTATCTTTACTCTTTTAAATTGATGATGAGACAATCCTGATGAAAATATAACTTTTAAATTTAAGGAGAGCCTTATATGTGTTCCTCTTATACTGTACAACAATAACTTTGAAGAGTGTCCTCTAACATCTGAATGAAAGTAAGGTGCTGGGCTCTCCCTGGTGGCGCAGCGGGGTAAAGCACAGCACTTAGAAGCTAGGGCCACTTCAGCATGAGTTTGATCCCCACCCCAGAGATGATCCACACGGTGTGGGGGACCTCTCCTGACCTGCCCGATGCTCCCCTCAGCAGTGTACTTCGTCAGTCGGCCTGTTCTGCTCCCCACTCTGACTCTGGTGAAGCCTCTCACTGCCCCTGCACCGCTAGTTTGTACCTCAGTTCTGTATGCATAAATAAATAAATCTTAAAAAAAAAAACAAAAACATTTATAACTTATTGCCCTGGATATGACAAAGCATTTTATTTATTTTTTATTTTTTTTATTTTTTTTTTTAAAGATTTATTTATTTGTGCATACAGAACTGGGGTACAGGCCAGAGGCTCAGGGGCAGTGAGAGGCTTCACCAGAGACAGAGTGGGGAACAGAACAGGCAGATCTACGAAGTACACTGCTGAGGGGAGCAGCGGGCGGGTCAGGAGAGGTCTGCCACGCCATGTGGTCTCCTCCGGGGCAGGCGGGAATCGAACTCATGCGGAAGCGGCTTTAGATTCTCAGTGCTGTGCTTTAACCCGCTGCGCCACCAGGGAGGGCCCCAAAGCATTTTATTTTATCTGTAATTTCTTTGGCCTTCATTAATGTTGTTATTTAAAAACTTACCACTTTTGCTCTTGTATTGCTCTAATAAGCAAAATTTTCTGACCTAAAAATAACTCTAGACATGTAGAAAATTACATAAATTTATTTAGTATAAAATTAGGGTATAAACAGTTACAGGAATAATCGTAAGGATTCAGGTTAGTGAAGGGATGCCTTTTAGAGGGAGCCTTTCTCCAAACATGCTGCTTTAAAAGCTGAGCAGCAGATTAATCACTTTCCCTGAACCCGCTCTGTGGCGTTCTCCTTCTTCTGCCTCTAATCAGCCTAGACAATCCTTCTCCCCAACTCCAGCACAATTTTATATCTCCTATGAGAGTAATATAGACATAGGACAGATGTATGGACTCATTTGCAGCAAGAATTAGAACAGTTTGTGAACCACTCAATGAAAATGAAAAATAAAGTTCCTGTGTACAGCACTTTTTAAGTGCATTCCTTCCAAATAAAGTGTGTGTGTGGAGTAGTCAGAGATATATTTGGAGACAATTGTATGTTTGCTTTTAATTGCAGGTAAAACTACTTGGACATGGACAGTCACTTAACTGGAGTTCCTTGGAGCAAACTGGCATTATGATAGACCTGCCACAGCTAACCATTCATCAGATGCCCTGTAAGTGGGGCTGGACTCTGGCACTGACTAACGTGACCTAATTTGTGTTTCAGTTACAGCTTAGATTTTAAATGACCAGGATTCCATAATTGTAGCCCATGGAGAAAGCGAATGTAGAATTGCCAAAATGATTATTTTATTAGGCAATTCAGCCCTTCCCCCTCTCCTCTCCCTCCTAAGGTTTTCTCTAAGTTAGCACATAACTTTTCTCTCTCCATGGCATTTTACCATGTGAAGTCCTTTTGTATTGAATTCATTTCCATATGTGACTCAGAGGTGGAAATTATTGTTTGGAAGTAGCTAAGAATTGGTGGTTGAAAGGACTCAAGATGCCTCCTGTGAATTTCATGTGCTGAAGCCCAATGTGATTGTATTTGGAGACAGAGCCCTTTAAACAGTAATGAAGATTAAATGAAGTTACAAGGGTGGGGCCCAATCAAATATGACTGGCATCCTTAGAAGAAGAGGAAGAGCATCAAAGACTCGAGCACACAGGAAAGCTCGTGTGAGGACACATGGGGAAGGTGTGCTACCTGCAAGCCCTGAGGAGACCTCAAGAGAAACTGCATCTGCCACACCTTGACCTCAGGCTATCAGTCTCCAGAACCCTGAGAAAGTATTGTTGTTTAAGTCCCTTAGCCTGTGGTGCTTTGTTAGGGCAAGCCTCGCACACTAGTACAGGTGGTATATATATATATATACACACACACAATAAATTGGGCTTAATCTGTATTTACAATGCTTCCCATAATTTTTTATAAAAAATTTCCTCTTGGTACTAAAACTGATAAATGTCCAGTATAGATGTTTAAAAATACTTGAAATATGGGCTCTCCCTGGTGGTGCAAGGGGTTAAAGCACCACATTATGAAGCTCTCCGAAGCTTCTGCAGCAGGAGTTTGATCCCAGGCCTGCCAGGGGGCTGATCCACATGAGGGTGGCGGAACTCTTCTGACCCACCCCCTGCTCCCCTCAGCAGTGTACTTTGTCAATATGACTGTTATGCTCCCCACTGTGTCTCTGGTGAAACCTCTCACCGCCCCTACACCTCTGGTGTGTACCCCAGTTCTGTAAGCATAAATGAATAAATCGTTAAAAAAATGCTTGAAAAAAAGTCACTGCTCAGATTCCTATTATTAATGTTTTAATATATATATTCATGTTTTGGGGGCCTATTTTTGCAGATGGGCTAATTAGATCTGCTCACTCTATTTGCCATCAGCAAACATTGAAAAACTAGTTAAAAATTAGGGTGTCTAGTCTGAATCTTCCCTAAAGATGAAGCAAATAACTGATGATGCAAAAGAACTGATTGTCATGTAAATTTAAGTTATACTCTTCAATAAAAGATGTTCCATAAGGCCAGGTATTTATTTGAAGTACTACAAGTTTGACATTTTTATAGCAATTAAATGCAGAAATCTTACTTTTCTCAAAAATATTTCAAAGAGTGAAATAAAACACAATTTATTTTATTTCCTAAAATCATGCTAAAGTTGGAAACCTTTTTAAAAAATTACTCATGGCTGAAGCTGTTATTATGGTCATGATTTGAAACCATGCTGATATTTTTACATTGATAAATATAACAGTGTGTGTAATATTAATAGTATTAAGTACTGTTTTAAGTGAATAGCATTAAGTCCCAATTGACATCTTATTAGAATTCCAAATGTGAATAGATGTATATGATTCCAAAAACTAGACTTAAAAAAAGTGGGGAAAAAAAAAAAAAACTCATACAATTCCAAATAAACAATATTAGAAGGAACAATATAAAAAGTAGGGTCATCTGTTGAAGAAAATAATTTTGAGACTAAAACCTGTCAGTTACTTAGATTCCTATTCTCTTTACCTTTATTTTTACACATTCAAAATCAAGGAAGAAAAGGAAGTATTTCAGCCAATTATAGCTACATGTAGGGTTTATTTAATGAGTAGCTATTGAAGAAGCTAAATGATAAAATATAACTCAACAAAGGTGCTGATAAAATGCTTTGTGAATGACCAGAAACTGTATGTGAAAAATAAGAGAGACCTAATTTAAAGTTATATTAAGGTTTATCTTTCATACATGTGAAATGTACCATAACTGGGTTTCTTAACAAAGGTTTAAAAACAGGGGCCTCCCTGCTGGTCTAAAGGTTAAGTCTTAGTGCTGTCACTACAATGGCCTGAGTTTGATCCCCAGCCGGGGAGCTGACCCACATGGCGCAGCAAACCTTGCCTGCTGCACCCCTCAGAAGTATATTTTAGTAGATCTGCCTGCTCTGCTCCCTATTTTGTCTCTGGTGAATCCTCTCACCCTTTCAGACCTCTGGCCTATACCCCATTCTTCTATGCATAAGTAAATCTTTAAAAAATATATACAAAGTTCTGACAGTTATCATTGGTATGAAAAGCAAGAATTATGGTAAGGCTAGTGAAAATTCAAGTCTCTCATTACCTATTTTAAAGCAATTGTTTTCTTATCTCCAATGAATTAACCCTTTTCCCAGAGCTACTAATAGGTAAAAATTGCCTTAGTTGAATTTCACTTTTAATTTTTCTTTCAATGACTAGAGAAATGTTGAGGGCAAACCAAATTAGGTCATTAGATTGAATATCGACATTACTAAAATTACGAGAAGATGAGAGGATTCACCAGAGATGGAGTGGGAAACAGGACAGGTGGATTTACTGAAATATACTGCTAAAGGGAGCAGTGGGTGAGACAGGTCTGCAGTCATATGCAGGTCAGCAACTTGGTTGGGATGGAACTCAGGCCATAGCAGTGAGAGCACTGAGAGAGACTTAACCCCTAGGCCACCAAGGAGGTCCCTATCTCATTTTCTTATAAATGCCATAGTGAAGCAATGCAGTTGCCCTAAAAGGTCAGGTATTCAAATAAACAGAAATTAGGAAAACAAAAACAAGACAGATATTTTGTCTTCCATTCATTTAGATTTTGTAAGTAGAAGATCTTTCCAGGTAAAATTCCTCCTACCTTCCAAATAATTAAATACTCATCAAAATTTTATATATACACACACTTAACAAACATTAGGTTTAAAGAATAAAAAGTAGATGCTCTGTAAGTAATCTCCACTTAAGCAATTCACTAGATTAACTGATACTGTTTTCTTGGAAAAGCCAAGTGATCGATGCCATAGGCTGCCTATCTTTATTAACTATGGCTTTCAGATAGGACTGTCTGGCACACCCTAGACTTCAGTTTCCACTTGCAGTATATTTCCCAAGGGTCAGTTGGGTTTGTTACTGTAGTGGACTGAATAGTCTACAACAATTTATGTCCACCAGAAGCTCAGATGGCACTTTTACTTGGCCTCTGTAGTGCCTCTGCAGATGTAGTTAAGTGTTGAAATAAGATCAGATTAGATATGAATAGATCCTAGAAAAGAAGAAAATACAGAGAGGAGAGGCCGTGTGAAGACAGGCAGAGACTGTAATGATGCTGCCACAGACGGAGAACACCTGCCTGAGAAGCAGCATGAGCCAAGGAAGGAGCCAAAGGCTTTCTCTCCTAGAATTATCAGAGAGAGAGCAAGGGTCCTGTTGACACCTTGAGCTCAGAATGGTGAGAATTATTTCTGTTGTTTTAAGCCACACAACTAGTAGTAATTAGTAATGGCAGCTCTAGAAACTAATAGTACTTGCTAAACAAATTAACAATAACAAACTTTTTAATCATGATTATACAAAACTTGATAATCTAAGTGTGAAGAGTTGTGAAAGCCAACTTGAATATTTTGGAAAGATTAATTTTTTTGGGAAGGTATTAGTTTACTGTGGGGACAAAACAGTAAAATGTGGTTCACAACTATACAATGTAATATATGTGATTTGTACAAGACAGAGAATGTTTAAAAAGAGACCAATCAAGAAAATATGGGAAAGGCCTGGATCCTACATTAAATAATGGTAAAGAATATTTAAATTTTTTAAGTCAAAATATTGTAGAATATATGTGCTATTTTTCCAAGGTGACATCTCTTTATGGGCTTAATCTGTATATGTTCCAGCAGCAGCCCCCAGCCCTGTGTTATTTTTATTATTTCTTACTTTAAGTGCCTTTTTGGGATCAATCAAACAACCAGGTACCAGAGAACAGGGCTCTTCTTGTACTATTAGAAGGCACATTTACATGTCAAGTTCAATTAGCTTCAAATACATGTGTCATGATTCCAATTGCCACAACTCTCCATATGCAGATGATTTCAAGTAATAATTTTCAGTTGATCAGCTTTGTATCCTTTCAAGGCAATGCCTGCTCACCTCAAATTTTCCCTGGATGAAATCCTGGGTTAACATTGCTGAAAGAGATGCTTGCCCTATTACACACATACATTTACTAATTTTTTAAAATGCAACTTTTCCATCACCATATTAAAAATAATATCATTATCTTCATCAAACTTTAGGAAGAAGCATTTGCCCTTCTCTTCACCTTTACATCAGTTTTTGTTAGGCTTAAGAAATGTTCTAGACACAGACTCCCTAGCAGTTGTTTTGAGACAACCCGAAACTTAGGAGAGATCGTACAGTCCATCTTCTACCTTCTCTTATTTAGCTGTATGTTACATCGGAGGAACATAAAATGATGTCACTGAAAACATTTTGACTCTGATGATACTTTTTGATTTTTTCTGCCCTAAATATCCTTATAAATACGGAACTATAGCGATAGTGAATTTTTTTCAGATAAAATGCCATTTATTTTTTTCCAAACATGTTCAAAGAAAGCATCAATTTTGTGTTAAAATAAAATGAAAGTTAGAATATTCTCCTGAAATAACAGCAAAAAAGCTATGGGACAAATAAATTAATGGCTATAATGTATTAATTCAAAAAAGCCACATTTTACTAAAATATTTTATTGCAATAAGATATTCAGTGTGCAATACAAACGAAGTTATTAAAGTTATTTACATACAAATGAAACTATGGAATCAGTAACACTAAGTGTAAGTAAACAGCATCAACACAATTTTACCTCTAAGTCAAACTATAATTTTCTAAAGTTAACAACAGTAGATAAAAATTGTTGATCATGATTGTTCAGTTGTTAAATTCACACATTTCCATAAAAAAAGTCCTTCATTAGGCTATATTTGAAATAAATAATTTATTCCTATAAATTATAATTGGAGAAAGTTTGATTCATTTCCATATACTGCAGTCTAGTGAACTTTATGATTAAATAGCATATTTTCCAAACTTCTCATCTAATCCCCAGATTTTTACTCAGTATTAATATGAGAGTATACTGAATTTCCTATTTCATTAAAAAAAATCTACAGTAGCTTTTAGATAACTTGGAACTACTATTCATGATATGACACATTATTAATAGTTCAGATATTTGCATTGTGTAAACTCAAATACACCCACAAACCTAGTTTGTGGATGACTTAAAAAAATATATTAAGATGTAAATTAAATCTATTTTATTACGAAATGAAGACTTTGATAAGAATATATTTTTTTATTAGGCATTTTGGTAACAAATTATTACCCTATATATAGTTGGTTTATTCAGTGTATTGTTTTAAGTAAATACATTCCACTGTAGCTTTTCTTGAAGAAAAAAATCATTTCTCCAGTTGTTGAGGGGTACTAAAAGCCTCATACACATTAGCAGCAAAGTCTTTCACCTGCTCCATCATCAGCAAATCCTAGCAAAAATGACAATAAAACACTATAGTTTGTAAAAAATATAGGTAATTTAAATCCATTTCTGTAATCAACCAATGAATTAACTTTTACATTTTTTGGCAAGAAGGCTAAAAAGAAACCCACTTAAAGAGAGGAATACTGTTTCTTACATTAAATTCTAGGAGATAGTGGCTAAGTTCTTAAATGAAGGTTGGTGTTCTCTTAAATATTAGAAAACTCAAGTGAGCACTAGTTTTATTTTGATACCAACAAATTCTTGGTTAAATTCTCTTAAGACCACTAGATATTTTACCTTACAGATACACTCCTACACTCATGGTTCACTCTATCACACACTACATGTGGCTTCAGGTTTTGGTTTTACTAAACAAATATCACAGGAAAGTAATGTAAATTTACACTAGCCAACAGGGGCACAACCCCAGATACAAACTTTAATAATGCCCCCAAACTTGCTTCTTACCTGCACAAAATGACTAGGTGTTTCACTGCAAACTGAATGAATCTGTCCATTTACTATGGGGATTATCTTGGCTAAAGGCAGGCTCACACTGGAAAGACTGAAAAAATTATGATAGTAATAATTATTTTCTGAAATTATCTTACAAGAATTTTACATTTTAATGACAAAGGTAACAGTCACTGAAGAATACTTATAGGAGAAAATAAAAACCATACCATCTAAAATAAAAACTGTAATTATATCATAGTTAATTTGTTCTAGTAATCTTTACAGAAATACATCTATGTTTCTGTGTATTTTACACATAAAGTCGCATCTGAGGCAAAGCTATTATGCCTTTTTATTCATACAGGCATTTTCCCATCTCATTACAAGTTTTTCCAAAGTTTTTGTCTGGGTCTTTACAATTTTTTATTTGTAAAGATTTTTTTAATGCAGTACCATTACTTTCTATCCTTGTTAACTTTTCCCGGACACAGGATTTCTCTCCTCAGGAATTAATGAGTACATTGTAATTCATTCTCTGACAATCAGCTTCTTAGAATTGAGAATTTAAGTTTATGTCTAATTTTCTTTAGTTTTGTGTAAACATGGAATTGCTACATCAAATGGCATGGATGTTTTTGCTAAATGTGTTCTGCTTCTCCAGAAGTGGGGAGAATATCTGTTCCATCATGCTTTCTTTTTACATCAAGCTGTATCTGTATGTCTGACAGCAGAAACTGGGATCTGTATTTTTCTAAATCTGTATTTCTCTAAATCGGTAGCAGTGTTAAATGTTTTCTTCCCTCTTCAGTGAACTGCACACCACTATCTGTTTGGCAGCGTGAGCTGAAATTCTTGGTGTCATCACTGGTACTTCCTTCTACCGATATCATACTCCCCCACAATTCTAAATATTTCTTCTATTGTGACGTCAGAGTTCCCACGATGTGGGTTAATAACAGAAGTGACAACACATATGATGGGACTGTTTCTAGAGTTGGGTCATGTAATATGAAGGTGGTTATTGCCATTAACAAGATAGTAAATATCATTGAAGACAAAGTCTGTGTAACGAAGTTTGAATGGACGCAAGGAAATCTCTGATTTTGAGGAGTAATGTTAATGTAAAGTAAGTGAAGTGTAACTGAGAAGTAAGATCCCACTTGCAGGTGGCACATGAAAGTACAGATAATGAGTACTAGGGGAGCTCAGAGAAGGAAAACTTACAGTGGCTGATGTAACTGCAATATAGTTTTTATAATTTTATTGTGTGTAAGATCAAATATTTTTTCATGTTTAAAACATGATGAATCAACTATTACAACTTGCTACCACTACTTAGGAAGTAAGTAATACCTTACTAGATAAAAACTAGTTGAAATTTTATTAACTGGACAACCTTGATTTGGGGAGTCTAAAGAAGTGAAAATTTATTTTGGTATAATTTAAAGAATTATATATAAAATGCTTTAGAAAACAAACTCTATGGCTTGAAGCATCCCAAATTCTCAAGGTTTGTTGCAAATTACTCTTTTTTATAAAATAAAGGTTCTAAAAAATTGGGAAATAATTTCTTGCCCTATGTGTTTAAGAATTAAATTGGGTATTGCATATCCATATTTTATATAAGTCACTGTTTCTACTAATTTTCATGGATGAGTTTGTAGTCAATTAACATTGATTTAGTACCTATTATTTTCTGAGTTTAATGTAAAAACTTACAAAACTGAGATCCTTACAGAGTGTAAATTCTAGTAGTAGATCAAAAGTGCTAATGTTGACATGATAAAGATATGTTTAAAAAAATGAAATCATGAGATATCTTGGCATCATGAATCCATAACTTAGTAATAGTTACAATCAAAATTAATAATTGCACTAAATACAAAACTCCAATCCTATAATGAAGGGTGAAAATGAACACATTTATATAGTTGTAGAACTAGGAAATGATTTATAATGGGAATCTTCAACAAAAATGCCTTATTATTACATTTACCAAAATACTGTTATTATATAGGCCATTTATGGCTCAGAGTACTTAAATAATTAAGGTAAATAATTAATGGCTCAGAGTACTTAAATAATAATTAAGGTAAATAATTAAAATAAATACCATGTCAGTCTTGTGTTTCTAAAGAGTTAGAAAAAATAACAGCTGCAAGTTGGCCTCAGATAGGTATTTTCACCTACTTTAAATAGTGGCAAAATTTTTGGAAAAAATATGAGCTTTAATATTAAATATAAAAGGAGCTTTTACTAATGATGAGAACATTAGTTTAACAGTTTAATTTGTTGAAAAATAAGCATTCAAATTTTATTCACTAAGATAATTTTTTGTTACTTGGAACAAAAAAATAAACACACCCAAAGTTCTACATTTTTTTTTAAAGCACTCAGTAAATGGGTGACATTTTTATTATTATCTTACCTGTTCATGGAGTCACCATGTTGCAGGTCCTGCTCAGTAGGTCGAAAGAACTCAGCCATATTGTCTAGCAGTCTACTAAAACCTCGGTTTAAACAGGTATTCAAAACTGTACTAAAATCTGGACTGTACAAAATAAGAAATATGTTACTTTTTAGATTCTCAGTCAAAAAGGAAATAAATTCAGAAACTATGTGGTTACCTTTGATATATCTATAGATATATCTACATATATATTCCTAGTCACAATCTAGTTTTTAGTCTAGAACATAGTAAGGATATCAAGTCAATCCTTAATAATTAAACATAAAAAGTGAGCTTATTTGCTTAGCACAACAAAATGGGGATATTCCTTTTGCTAGATTTTCTTACATTAGTATGCTGTACAATATTTCTTAGACTGCTAGACAAGTATCAATGTTACTTTTCTTGAAGAAAATCCTTTAGTCACAAATTATGGTTTGCTTTATATGCCTATTGTAACATTCCAGTGAGATAGAAAATTTTATTATCACGTACAGATGAGAAACTGGATACTTAAGGGATAAAGAAATTTGTCTAAAGGTATGTAGTTAATAAGTGGTCAGTTAATATTTGAAACCAGGTCTTTTTGAGCTTAACATTCAAGCTCTTTTCATTGTAGTATATTAGTACTTCATAAAAACATTTTTGATACAAAGAACAATATATGTGTGCTGTGAAAGAAATATGCCTCATTTAACAACTTAGTTATATCTTTACATGCAGAAATTCTTAATATCAACTCATGGGATTGAAGAGTTAGGTCTATACATTTGAGACTTACTACCGTACAGACAGGAGTTAAAACAATGGATGCATGCTTAAAATTTCATGGAACAGTTGAGGATTAAAATAAGAACAAATATCTGGAAAATACTGATGTTTAAAGGAAAGACAGAGGAACTTAAGAAAAAGTGATTTGAGAATTATTAGAAAAATTAGGAAATTATACTGCAATGAAAGCCACATGAAAAAATAATTTCTAGAAAAGGCTTGATCAGAGAAAGGTTAAGCAGATGAACTCTATAGGTTGAGCAGATTTGGCAAGAACACTGTAATCTTTCCTAGAGCTTGGTGGAGTGATCTGGTGGAAATATGAATAAGAAAGAGGTAGCGATTACGACTAGAACTTGATAAATGCCTACAGCAGGTTCAGTAGCTGAGTTAACCGAGTAATTTGCTGATTTTCTTCAAAATCGTTGAAAAGGTATATGACATCATTTCCTCAAAAAACAGAATGAGAGAAGATGGGTTTAAATATATTCAGCTTAAAAGAGCTTTGATATTTTTATTGACTAAAGGTAGGTAGGAGTGGTATTTTTTTTTAAAGATTTATTTATTTATGCATACAGAACTGGGGTACAGGCCAAAGATGGGGGCAGTGAGAGGATTCACCAGAGACAGAGTGGGGAGCAGAACAGGCAGACTGACAAAGTACACTGCTGAGGGGAGCAAGGGGCAGGACGGGAGAGGTCTGCCGCGCCATGTGGGTCACCTCCAGGGCCAGGGATCAAACCAGCACTGAAGTGGCTGCCGCTGGCTTGCAGTGCTGCGCTTTAACCCGCTGCGCCACCAGGGAGGGCCCAGGAGTGGTATTTTTTTTAAAAAAAGATTTATTCTTATCTATCTATGCATATACAAGAACTGGGGTGTAGGGCAGAGGTTCAGGGGGGTGGGAAGGTTCACTAGAGACAGTGGGGATCACAGCAGGCAGACCTACTGAAATACAATGCTGAGGGGAGCAGGGAGCAAGAGAGAGGTCTGCTGTTCCACGTAGGTTAGGTCTGTGCCAAGAATATAACTTATCCTTGATGGTGCAGAGATTTAACCCCTAGAGCCACCAAGGAGGCTCAGTAGGAATGGTAAAGTCAGACTTTTACAATGATAAAAATCCCTAGAGAGTTTACGCGGCTCAAGAGAGTTTAAGTGGCTCAATTAAGGTTGACCGGTAACACAACAGGAGCTGCAGAGATCTTGAATCTAGGGTTTTCTGGTTGTCTTTGAAAGCACAGCTTGCATAAGTTGGTGCTTTTCCCATTTGTAAAATCTTTTCTGGCTGATTAAAAATAGTATACTTAATTTAGGAAAGGTGAAATTTTTTTTTTTTTTAAAGATTTATTTATTCATACAGAACTGGGGTACAGGCCAGAGATGCGGAGGGTGAGAGGCTTCACCAGAGACAGAGAGGGGAGCAGAACAGGGCAGATGATCAAGGTACACTGCTGGGGGGAGCAGCGGGCGGGCGAGGAGAGGTCTGCCACGCCATGTGGTCACCTCCGGGGCAGGCGGGGATCGAACTCATGTGGAAGTGGCTTAAGCTTCTTAGTGCAGTGCTTTAACCCCCTGCGCCACCAGGGAGGGCCCGAAAGGTGAAATTTTTAACATTCAAAGTTTTAGGAACATTATAGTCTACCTTAAAAGGGATAATGAAATATTTCTTAAAATTGTGGGCACCTATTAGCAGTTATGTGTAGGTATCTACATAAGACGGTCAGCTGAAGCTGGCTCAGAGCACCTCTTCCCAGCTCAGCACTGAGCGACTTCAATTTGGTGGTTCGAACAGCTGTGACTGCAATTTCAGTTTTTGATTTTTTTTTTTAAACTGACCTAGTATGTGTGAGTATAAGAGAATCATCCTCAAAGGTATTTTTCAAAATATAAATGTTAATTATCTACCCTCTAGCCCCTCAACTATTATATTAGCGTCTCTAGAGTAGTCTTTAGTATCTTGAAAATAAACCCCTGCTTCCTTTCTTTCTCTAACAAGAAAACCACTATTTTAGGTAGGAAGGTAGGGGAATAGATTCAAAATTTAATTTCAATGAAACATGATATGGAATATGTTCTCAGGAATTACTACAAAATGGTCTTAAGTACACACAAAGCAGAAATATATTTTTTGTCGTGTAATATACATACCTTTCTAACATATCTCTAGTTTCATTGAGCAGTTTAATAGTAGTAATATCTCTAGGAGAAAGCCCACAGGCCTGTAAAATTAAAATGCCACATTTCAGGGTTTCAAGTATTAGCAAAGGGCTATCATTAAGTAATCATACATGAGCAAGGTACAATTATACTTTCTAAGGTCTTTTGTTTACCTGGACACTCTTGGACACATTTCTCAAATATATTTATCTGCACTCTATGTAGACTAAATTTTCAGATTTTAATTCAAGTTTGGTTCATTTTTATTTTTACATGTTTTTGGAACTGATTTCATTTTTAGTTCCAATTTGAACTTGAAAATTTACATTTCTTTCTAATCATACAAAAAACTTCTAAGTGCCCTTCTTGCAATTCCTTGAGATCCTGTTTTCTCTTGTTTCTTCCATTAATTCAGTCCCATGTGTTCTGCTTACTCAATTTACATGCCACTCTATTCTGCTGATCACATAATTTCCTTAAAATTTTGTTGAAACTTTCTCTATACATGAGTATAGGGTCTTTCAACTTGCAAATAGCAAACAGGTTGATCTTTGGGCCTCTAGGGTATGGGAAACATACTATCACTGAAAATCATAGCCTTCTTTGTTTTATTGTGGCTTCTCTGGTTAAAAGTTTTTGTAGCTATCAAGTAAGAGTATACTCTTCTCAGTTGTAAAGAATGAGTATAATCTGTTTATAAATGAAAAAAAAACCAACTATTTTTTAATCCCATGTGCTTGAAGGTTGCATAGGATTTTTTAAAATGTATATATTTTAAGATTTTATTTATTTATGCTTATAGAACAGGGTGTAGGCCAGGGGTGGTGAGATGATTCACCAGAGACAGAGTGGGGAGCAGAACAGGCAGATTGACAAAGTATACTGCTGAGGAGCAGTGAACGGGTTAGGAGAGGTCTGCGATGCCATGTGAATCACCTCCAGGGCTGGGGATCGAACTTTCACTGAAGCAATTGTGGTTGGCTTGCAGTGCTGTGCTTTAACCCACTGTGCCGCCAGGGAGGGCCAACAGTAACTATTTTAAAACAAGTATATAACCAGCAACCTTTGGCATTTTTTAAAAAAAATCAATGGACAACTTACATCTTAATTGCCTAGGACACACCAGTGTGTCCAATATATTTTTACTGCAACAACATGCCTGATAATTGTTGGATTGGGCCTTTTTTTTTCTCAGTTGGGTGACTATAACTTCTTCCAGTCACATTTTGGATAATACCATCACTGATTTATCTCAAAAAGTAAATGTGGTTAAAATGTAATTTATTTGTTTACAAATAAATGAATGTTCAGGTTTCATCCTGGCATACAAAGCTCTTCATGATCTTTCCTCAACCATCTATTACATGATCTCTTGCAGGTATGCCCAGGCCATGTGAACTCCTGAATTTGTCTCCTAAGCTTTCCAAGTGTGCCGAACATGTCTTATTCCTATTATATCCCAGGCATACACTGTAGTTTCACATAACTAAGATGCAAAAAAAAATTGCTGAGTATCTAAATGTTTTGCAGTAGAAACCAGCCATATTTACAGTTTTCTTTTTAATTAACAAGACTTTTTTTTATGTACTGAAAATATGTGATTTTATTCATTTACCTTTCAAGAGACTCAGCAACCTAAATTTCAAGAGATATTACAAAAACAAAATTTAAAAACAGAGTAACTGGTTTGGTTACATGGTTATATAATTAATCACCTGAGCTGCTAGTGGAGTTTCTTCATCTGGCATCATGTAATGGCATAACAAAGATCTGGATTCATCTTTATTTATCAAAGAAGAAGGCTGATGCTGCTCTACAAGGCTTCTGATTTCTTTCAGTTTTTGTTCCAAGTCCAAAAGGGATAAAGAATGTTTAAGAGAAACACTGAAAAAGGGAGAGAGAGGGAACTGGGATAAACTGAAACTACACAACATATCGTACGTACACTCTTAACAGGTTACCATTTGTGATCCTGTTTCATCTAGTCAAACCTGAAACTGCTACCTGTGAAATCACTAGCATAGACTAAGAAATCACCTACCAGTTTGGGTGCTTAATATAAAGTAAAGAAAAACATTGCAGCAGATTTCACAAATTTCCATTGCAATTATATTACCAGCATTAACAGGAGATAAGGAACTTCAGAGGCAGATGCACGTTTTTTATATGGTTATCCAAATATTTCTGGTTTGTTAAGAAATCAATGAATGAACAGTGAAGCATTAACAGGAGATAAGGAACTTCAGAGGCAGATGTACGTTTTTTATATGGTTATCCAAATATTTCTGGTTTGTTAAGAAATCAATGAATGAACAGTGAAACATGAAAACTTTTCCTTTAGTATCAAGTGGTTGATACTGATGAAGAAAATGGATTCCACAAAGCAATACTACCCTCTCAGCCTACCCTCCCCCACCAAAGGCTTTGTAAACTGCATCAGGTTACAAAGAATTTTACAAACCACCATTTGCCAAGTCACTAGTTTCACTAGAAGGACTCTTATTTTCCTTCATTCATCAGAACTAGGAAGTAAAGAAACAGCCAAAGCAAAATGCCTTACCTTCCTAAAATCTTCTGCACAGCTTGTTTAATGACAGTGATTAGTTCTGTAAGACCTGTGAAAAGAAAAACAAACATAAAATCCTGTTTACTGTTTGAATTCCCCAATAATATAAATGAATGAATTAAAATTAGTCTATAGGTCAGAGATAAAATCTTACCATCTCCAAGGAGGTGCTGAATACTTGACAAATATTGCTGTTGGACATCTGGGGGTGCAAGAGTTGTCTGTATGAAATAGAAAAAAGTCAAATTATTTGATATTAGTAGTAAATAAATATTTTCAGTATAACTTGAGCTGAAATTTTTCAGGACCTGGAGTGACAGGAAAAGTAATATTCTTTAATATAACAAAAGACCTAGTTTTAAACTATGAAAAATAAAATCACTAATAGTTAATAGTCACATGAAATACAAAGATAGTAACTTTATAGAAATTATCTCGATAAATCATATTTGTTTAATTTCAAGCCTTTCGAAAGACAAGGCAATACCTATTTAAGTCTAGTAAAACTTACGGTGCCATTTTTGCCAACTGCTGCATTATCCAGGTAAATATAGCCACCAATTATGTTTAACTGGACTCGCAAAAGAACAACCAGCATACAAGTACTATATACAGCTACGATACTTCTTGTGAAACCTTCATAGAGAAAAAGAAAGCCATTTGGTACTATTAAAACAGAAACAAATGTGTAAAATCATGATCTATACTATGATTTTTTCATACGATGACTTTAAAGAAATAATTATAACCATTTTCAGTACAAAAAAATATCAATTCATACTATTTTTTAGTTGATCTCCTTAAAACTTATTTAATATAAATTAACTATGGACTCTTTATTGACACAATAACCAATTAAACCCATAACCATAAATTGAGTGAAATGTTTTATATTAGCTTAGAAAAGAAAACTAGAGGTGACTGGGAAGAGCTGTAGCCTCAGAACTACGATATGTTGAGGAGATAGCTCAAAATAAAAGAAGGCTGAGTGGGGAAGAATTGAGTTTCAAGGGCAGATAAAGGAGTATAAGTTGATTAAAGTGCTGGAAGAAGGTATAACAAGATAGGGTAATACCTTATCATCAGGTAATATGGGGGAGGTGTTTACTATTGATGAGAGGTTTAGTAGGAGCAGAATGTTCCATGGACTTAGCAATACAGAAGTTACTATTAATGCTGTGAGATATACTTGGGTGGAGACAGGAATGGAAGCCAGTTTATAGTATGTACAAGAACATGTGGGAGTGAGTAAGAGTAGAAAGGAATGTAAAATCTCTGGTATTAAGTATAAGGGACTTGAGAAAGTCCAATTGCTGAAAGGAAACAAGAAAAGTTTCATTTAAGTTCAATAGGACAACGCTTAAGTATGGTTCAGCTGCAAGGATCAACTGAAGATCAGGAAAACAAGACAACTGAGAATATGAAACTCTGACATGTATGCATCCATCCATCCTTCTGTCTACACTTAGCCAGGGCAGCTCTCTGTTCAAATTTTTAACTGTCATCAAAGTTTGCATATAATATAAAAGTACAGTTACTATCTGTGTTGAAGGGAAAACTGTCCTCAAAGCTATTACAGATATCAGTAACTAATAAAGACATAGGAAGTTACAAGTAGTCATAATCCTACCAACATTTACTGAGTGTTTTCTATAGACATTGATCTACTTGCTTTTTAAGAATTATTTAATCCTGATGACTCTGAGGTGGGCAAAGAAGAGTCATCCACATAATGGAGTAGAAACATTTTTTCATAAATACTTAAAGAAGGTGCTGTTAACAGAATATGTAGGCTTACTTATTATCTTCAGATCCTCCCATATCTCTAGTTTGTTTGAAGGCCTAAAGAAAAAGAAAATCAGAAGATATATAATAATCTAGATAATCAAATAGATAAACTTTGAATTTATAGCTCTAGTTATAGGTTACTACAAAAAACAAAGACCACAAAATAAAATAAAATAAAAACAATAAATTTCCGTAATTAATTACAATAATCTCCAGGAATATATATCTATATAAATCTTTGCAGTCTATTTCTCCCTCTGGGCAGATGTACATGTGCATAAAATCACTAGGAAAAACAGGAGAAATATTTCTTACCCATCCCCACTCCCATATTTACTGTTTTCCAAATAAGGTAGGTTGTGTAATGCTTCTAAGGATATATTTTTTATTTTCAAGTATGAGTATAAATACCTGAGTTTAAATATGTTTAAATTGTATTTCAACCAACCATGGTAGTTATTCTTATTGATGTTCAAATTGCTCATCTTTGCGCACTGGGGGACTATTTAAAAAATTTATTTATGCATCTAATAACTGGGGTACAGGCCAGAGGAGCAGGGGATGAGAGGATTCACCAGAGACAGGCAGATCGACTAAAATACACTGCTGAGCAGTGGGCGAGACAAGAGAGGTCTGCTGCGCCATGTGGGTTAGCTCCTGGGCTGGGGGTCTAACTTGTGCTGCAGTGGCTGCTGACAGCCTCACAGTGCTGAGACTTAATCCCTGGCACCACTAGGGAGGTCCACTGGGGGGCTACTGAGATTAGCTCCTGGGTTCTTTTGACATGCCCTATTAGTCTTTAGTAGTTTTCTTACTTTCTGACATAAAAAAAGGGAAACATCCCTGGAAACATGCTTATTGTATTTGTTATTATGTTGCTTTTATAGAAGTGCTGTTCTCTTATCTCCTTTGTCATATTTCCCCAATAAGCTTCAAATGTAAGATATTAAAATTTATGTATTTTTTATCCCCTACTTATGTATATATAGGTGGGAATTCTGTATTTGAGAAAAGCCTACTCATATGCTTATTCTTCATATAATTATAAGGAATATTTAAGCTAAATCTTATTATCTGTAAGTAACTATGAAAGTGAAGCAACTTCTAAAAATTTTAGATTTAGGGGAATAAATCCTTATCGCAAGCATTATACTTTAATTAGACTTTTTTAAAACCTCAGGCACACATATCCATTATTATTTTGGTATGTAATCTCTGAATAAAGAATATGTAATTAAAGAAAATTTTCAGTCATTTATTTAACCTGTCTGAGCACAAATGGCCTAATGTCCTACTTGCATAATAGAGATGATAGTATCTAGTTCACAATGACACTATGAGAACTGGAAATATATAGGCACATAGCATTTGCCCCAGCAGAGACACACTCGAGAAATAACATTTCCTTTCCCACGTTATTGGAAGGTGACTACAAGGAAAGTGAGCAGTTTAGTACAGAAAATGATTAAAATTTACATAGTGAATGGACCCCTTCTCTCTATCTTGCTCACTAAAATAACAAGCCATTTCCTTCTGAAGTCTTTCCAGACTAAAATTAAAAGTAAAACAAACTAACAATACCCCAGCCCTTGCTACACTCCACATACAGGCCATAGTGTGAAGTCCACACTGAGCTGTCAAGGTAAGTAGATTATCATTACAGTATGCTCATGTTAGATTTGTACTTCATTTTGTTCATAATATAAAGTACAAGTTCATATATCTTATTTACTTGAAATGTATGTTCACAGCCTTTACTACATCATAAGTTTTTCAAGAAGCAGAGTTAATGTAACTTTGTCAGTTGTCGAACATCTGGTTTATGAATGCATTCCACAAGCGCTCAAGAACTACATTTCTTAGTAATGTCAAAGCAATATAGGGTCTATTTATATGAAATCCAGAATACATACAAATATTGTTGTCCTAAATTCTTTGTACATATGATAGAGCATTAAAAAATATCAAAGAAAAATTGAGTTAAGTGATATAGTTACTATTTATTTTTTTTTGTAAATGAGCCTATATAAGATGTCCTTAGAAGGCAAATACAGATTTTGAAAGGTATTTCAGCTCATCCTATAAACTTTCAGGATAGTGAGCAAACTAAACACATTGTAACTTGTATTTACCTGTTTTTTAGCAGGGCTGTGAGGCTTTCAGAATTGAGTTGCTGCATTAGGGCCTCTCTGAGGGTTGGAAGCATAGAGAGCACTGTGGAAACAAAGAAAATGAAGAGGCTATGAGCTGGTCTGACTGACCTCACTTAGAAGTGCCATTGTCTTAGACGTGGCGACAGGACTAGCATCTTGCAGGTGTGGGAGGAAAGTTCACAGGTAGCATATTCGTGTATTTACTATGAGTAACAATAAGCAATTATAAATTAACACATCATTTATCTGCCTATGTTAACAAAAATTATACATATATCATGGTCAGAGCAATGTAGCAATTACACATAGAATGAAGACCAAGAAGAATTAGTACCAATGCTAACATTAGTGATCTTTAAGTTACAGATTATAGTTGATTGCTTTTTTTATGCACTCTCCAAATTTTTAAAATAAATACTTATTTCTAATATAATAAAAATGGTCGAGTATTTTTATCTTTGCATTTTATATCTAATTTTAGAAAAATTTTATAGATAACACAAACTCATATGCATTTATTATAATCAAGATAAAAAGAGTGGCAGACTAGGAATTTTAGTTCTGTTTTTTCCAATGGTTATTATTTGAAACACCTAAGAATAACTCAAAGATAAAATGAGATTTAGAATATTATGGAACAAAGACTGCATGAGATTTATAGTAGTTAATTTATTTATGGTTCTGTACAAGGTATAAGAAATGTTAGAGAAATGTACTTGTGCAAATGTAAAGTGAGTTTTTAATACTAAATAAGTGATGATAACAAAATGAAAACCTATCAATTGACTATAAACGCTGCATTCTAAAAAGGAAAACCTAAGTGCATAACGTTTACTTTTGATTTGGTAAGACCTTAATTACAAACTCGTATTATTTTTATCTATAGAAAATTATTTTTAAACTATTGTTCACATATATTTCAATGTTGCATTACACAGCTTCACCGTATTCAAGCTGTCTGATTCAATGCCTGAGTTATTCAAACCATTAACTAAAGTGGCAGTTCGGAGACCATGTGAAAGATGGCTCACCTCTAGTGTGCTTAACATGTGTATGTAGCCCAATCACAGCATGGTACCTTACCAGGAAAAAGCAAACTAGAATGCTACATTCAGAAAGTGGAGGTAACATGAAACTCAAAGATGATGTATTATAACAACACGATATGAGAAGAGTCTGTCAATAATTCTGAGATACAAGAGCTTTTCACTTTCCACTTAAACCTATTCAACCAAAAATAAGTCCACTTTCCTCCTGGCTAGTGAAGACAGCAGTCAGGTTTTTCTTTAGCTAGCTGGTGTTCATGATAAAAACTTCCCCACAAATCAGACTATGACATTTTCACCAGCCTTGAATCTGTGTGAATGTGGGCAGGTCACTTAACCATTCTGTGCTTCAGTTTACACATACGTAAACTGAGGAAACACAGGATTTACCTTATAGGATCACTATTAAGGTTTAAGATACACCTTAGAGCAGTGTTTCTTTGTACATGGAAATGTTCTGTAAGCATTAGTTATTAGTATCATCATTATTACCCTTGTATGTTCCAGTTTGTAAGTAAACATGTCAGAGGTTGAATTGGGAAACTTTATAGGAACCTGTATTTTGGATCCTTGTGATCACTGTTATGATTATTTAATTAGCAGAAAAGCTATTTATTTACCTAGGGTTGTGCCATTCATGACTTTGCCTGGGAAGAACACAGCCAACTGAGAGCTCAGCTGCCTCTTTCTGTGTCCAATACGGATAATGCACTGATCTTAGCAGTGACAGTACTCAGTGGGGACACTGACGCAGACCCACTCCTCGGGGATGGGCCTTGTACTCCACCAGGGACCTTTGGTATGTAGACTCCCCACTGTCTATGGAACTTCTTAAAACTATGTTGTAGGTTTAACCAAGAACTGTGTTGAGATTCTTCCTACCTAGTCTTCCTTCCTTCTTCCTTTTCATTCCTGTCAAAGTGCTCTGTGGCCCCAAAGCTTTTTGTGTACACTTTGCTCTTTCCTTTCTTCTTCATAGGTCCCTCCTCCCCTCTTAAGTTTTGTGCACCCCTAATGCCCTCTGAGAATCTGCTTTGCAGAGCATACAATGGCCTATGCCAGACTGAGATATATTTTAAAAGCCATCTGTTTTCTGGAAATCCAAATAATAATCCTAGAAATGGGCTATTTCAGTCTCTAAAAATTCATGATCTTGTCTTCATAGCACCACTACTCTGTACTGAATATCAATTTAAGGAGTCATGCAATTATAAAAAAGTCACTATTCCTTGATTGTTATGCATCCAGTATTTTATATCCATTATTTTATCAAATGTTCATGAAACATTTGCAAATTGGGTTCTACGACATTTCATTTTCTGGAGGAAATTGAAATTTAGATTTGCTCAAAGATGTACAAGTAAGACAGGAGGCAAAACTGGGAATTGAAGCAGAGCCTCCTCATCCTTGAGCCTCTGATCTCATTCACTGTGTCTTATCCCGCTGCCATTCTATGCACCTATTTATGATTACTATTTGCTTTATAGAAGGAAGGTAGTTTTCTAAGCATTATTCCTTCCAATGTTAAAAATCATACTCCAAATGTAACTTTGGATGTATTTTCTTAACTTTCTTGATATCAGTTTTTTTTTATCTGTTAAATGGGTTGAGCTAATAATAAATTCCTTTCAGCTGAAGAAAGTTCTACATTTAAATTGAACAAAGAGAATTTACTTTTACAAATTCTTTCCAAATTAGCTGTTATCGAAAAGAATGTTAAAGAATTAAGGTTTAAACAATAAAATAAAGAAAACAGGTTGACATAGATTTGAGAACTAATTCTTCAAGAACTATACCAATCGTCACATAACACCTTCTCTTCAAATAGGGCAGTTAGCAGTTGCTAGCTCTGGAGGCTAAATGATTACCTAGAGTTAACATCAATTGAGTATATGTCACTGCGTTAAACTTACAGATATGTGGTCACCTACTATAAAATTTAACGAGCTTAGCGCTCTCCTGACTTCAAGGCCCAGTGGGATCAGGTCTGCCCCAGCAGCTTTACTTTCTATTCTTCTGCTTTTGTTCATTCTTCTCTAGTCACACACATAACCTTTAGGACACTTCCTGAATGTGCCAAACTCCTTCCACCGCAAACATTTTGCATCGCCACCTCCAGTACTGTTGATTCTCTTCCAATGTGACCTCCTCAAAGAGGCTTGACTCTTTTATTGCCACATCTTGAAGCGCATCCTCACCCTTCAGTTTTACTCTTATGGCAAGTAATCACTGCTGGAAGTTATTCACTTGTCATTTATCATCTTTTTCTCTTACTGACATATAAATTCTGAAGGTAAGGGTTTTTAATTGATCACATTCTGTTTTCTTAGTGCTGGGTATTTCAAGTATTTGCAGAATGCATAAATAAAATGAATAAAAAAGTATATTGTACATTGATGTGCAGTGATATTTAAAATTCACACTGAATAATATTATTTCAGTTAAATCATATCAATTATTTGCTGGACTTATCGTACTTTGCCTTCATCTTTAATTTCTTCAGTCCTGTAACTTTCTACATATGTATAAATGCATATACACATATATATGTAGTTTTCTTTGCCTTACCTGTCATGTTACAAGTCCTCTGATTACTTTCAAAATGATACTGTCGTCGTGCTTGGGCAATGTATTCTGCTGCCTCTCTTTCCTGAATTTCTCTGATTTTCTTCTGTCCATATTTTCCCAGGATATATACACCTAACATAAGTTTAAAAAACAAGCTAGTATATTAATTCTATTAATTATATATTAAAATTCCAAGTAGTGATTTTAAATGCCTTTATCTCAATATAACAGTGATATCAAAATCAAAACATTTAAAAACCTAACTTGAAAATTGCATAAGAAATGTTACATAAAAAATATAAAGTGATTAGAAAAATTGTGAACTAAAGAGAGGAAAAGAGAGAGTGACATTTTAACAGCAATGACAAATAGGCAGATAAGGAGTGTATCTGAAGAATGAGAAATTAAGGCTATGGAGCCAGCCAATGCCTTTCATAGTGAACTGGAGATATTCTAAATGTCCAACAGCAGGAAACTGTTTAAGGAAATGATGGTCCATCCATACAATGGAATCACAGTTGCCCTTGCAAGTCACACTGCTAAATAGGCAATGACTAAAGGAAATCTCAACCTTATATTGTTAAGATGATAAAATCAGATCCCAGAAGTTTTGCTTTTTAGTGTAGATACACAGAAAAACAGAAGGATTTTAATTTCTAACAAAATAAATAATGAAAAAAAAAATAAATAATGAGCATAGAAGAATAGCAGGGGCTATTTTTTTTGTTTCAATCAGCATAAGAACCTAAAAAATATCTAAGGTAAATATTTTAAAAAGGAATGAAAGAAAGGAAGGTAGTTCAGCAGACATCTGTAATTAGCAACTAATGTGGAAATGAAGGGGATGCAGGCACAGAAGTATAGTTCCTAAACTATAAAATACCAATGAGGTCATGCAGCCTGTGATTTACTTTCAGCATAGACAAGAGGATATAAATGTGCACATTTTGGTCAATACCCTATAGAGTCAGGTGAACACTTCAGTGTTATTAGTTGTCTGTAGAGCAAAAAATCACACTCCACGCATTTCAACACTTTTTTTTTTAGCACCACGAATATAAAAAATGGATTTTCACAGATGATGTAAATGGTGTTTAAGATATTTGATTATATATTCACATGAACAAGTATATATGAACCTTGAAATTCCTTCACTTTTCAGAATGACTCAACTTTGGATTCTCAGCTACTAGGTCAAAGGATTCTTAGTCAAAGAAGTTACTCAAGGGAGTCAGCCAGCAAAATCCTACCACTAGTTTGCTGCTACATTTGCTTCCAGTAAATCTTTATGATTAACTTTGTTGTATGACCAAAAAAAGGACTGAGTACTGGAACTTCAATGAGCTTATCCAACAGGTTATGATACTGTTTTAACTATGCTTGTGAACATGTTTTCATGTGTTGCAGAGTTTATGTTGTTATAACTTGGCAACATGATTGTAGGGGAATAGCTAATCTTTATCTACCTTCATCTCTCAACCAAAAAGAACCTAAGAACATTGCATTATCTAAATGATTAGATTTGGCTTTTTACAAGGGAGAATGTAGCCCTCTAGAACCTGCAAAGTAAACACATCCTGAATTATTTTAATTAATACAGGCTCTATAGATGAAATGATGGTATGTTAAATACTCTTAAAAATAATAGTTCAGGGCCCTCCCTGGTGGCGCAGCAGGTTAAGGTGCAACACTGCAAGCTATCTGCAGCCGCTTCCATGCCCCTCCCTGGAGGTGACCCACATGGCTAGGCAGACCTTTCCTGACCCGCCTGCTGCTCCCCTCAGCAGTGTACTTCGTTTGATCTGCCTGTTCTGCTCCTCACTCTGTCTCTGGTGAAGCCTCTCATCACCCCTGTATCTCTGGCCTGTCCCCTGGTTCTGTATGAATAAATAAATAAATCTTAAAAAAAAATTCAGTATAAGGTTGTGTGCTACAAATAATTACATATAAAATATAATTACTGTTGTTATGTTTATATACAAATAAATGTGTATGATTCTCACACTTAAAGAAAAATAAAAGTTCATATAAATGGTTTCACAGCTTTTTTGGTAATACATCCTCAATAAATTGATGACAATGCCATAGTAACAACAGTATAAAGAAAGTGACTTTGACAAAGTAACCTGTCGACAGGCCTCACCAACATAGCAACTTTTAAAAATAGCTTATATTTTATTTGCACAACAGAGTCTAAACTTTTGTGTAAAATGATTATTCTTCCTGAAATGAAACACTGAAAAAATGCTCTTTGCACAGCTGGGCATGTTTCATGATAGCAGTAAATTTGACTGGTATATGTATTTTCCTAGGGAGAAATTTCACTGCTTCCATAAGATTCTTCACAATGTCTTAATTTTTTTAAAGGAACTACTATATATGTTTGATAAGTGTAGCATGTTCCAACTAATGCTAAAGGAAGAAAACTATTGAATTGTGTCCTACCCAACCTCCTACTTTAATTTGCCCAGCAAACATCACATCTTGAAGCCCTAGTACCTCAGAATGTGATCTTATTTCAAAGACAAGGTCTTTACAGAGATAATCCAATTAAAAAGAAGTCCTTAGGGTCCATGGCTGGTTTCCTTATAAGACGAGGAAATCTAGATACAGACAGGCATTCTGGGAAGATGTAGCAGCAAAGGAGGAAGTGGCCACCTGCAAGCTAAGGAGAAAGATCTGGAACAGATACTTTATAAAAGCCTTCAGAAAGAATAAGTAAACCCTGCCAACATCTGGATTTTGGATGTCGGGCTTCCATAATTGTGAGGCAATAAATTTCTGTTCTTAAGCATTCAGCCTGTGGTACTTTGTCATGGCAGCCCTAGCAAATAATACATGGAATTAAGGCTAAAATTCACAATCCACTTTTTTTTTTGTTGCATTAGCACTTAAATAAATTCCTTAGAAAGTCTAATTTACCCCGGTTCTCATTTCCAAAATTCCTAAGCTCTAATTGAGTCAGATTTTCTTCCTAGGGAAATAAGAATATGGGCAGAAAATTCATATAAAATATGGAGCTGAATTCTGGCCTGGAAGACAGGAGATATATTGATGGCTCAAAGTTCAGTGACTTTGAGCAATTTTCTTCTTCTTTCTGGGCCCAAATTTATTTATTTATTAAATGAAAGGGTTTACAAGAGCTTTAAAATTTCTTCTGTAGCTATGACTTTATGAATGACGAAATCATTACTAAACACCTCAAGAAAGAAATGTAAAATGTTTAAACATTTCCTTACTGTGCTATGCTGGTAAAGCAAAATACCTTTTAGTCTTATCATATTATCAAATTTGAATCCTTGCAATACAACTGTTTTACTAAGTTAATAATTTCAGTAAGTTTGAAATTAAGAAATTAAGATTTCTTCCAATCAAGTATATAACCATCTCCTATTTGGATTCTATTTTATAAGTATTTTCTAAAGTTTTTCCACTTTACTCCAAACCCTTTACTCTGTCTTCATTTCCATCTTGAATATTCATACTCTGGAAGTGGTTTAACAGCTTACCAACTCTCTTACACTTCTGGTTTCAGAATCTTCTAATCCACCTTTTATATGCAAAGTGATTTTCAAAAAAAATGTCAATCAGACTGCATCATTCCTGTGTTTAGAATCCTTTAATACTCTGCCATTACTTCTTAACTGGATCCCCTGTTCCACTTACATCAGAATCACTTGGGTGTAATTGTTAAAATGTAGCCAGTAAAGAACTTTCTTGAAGACATCCTCAAATGTCTGGTCTTGTATGATATTGTACCTACTGCTACAGAGTAGGCATTTAATAAACACTTAATGCATGAATTAATGAACTGCAATTTGGACTTAAAGAACCATAGTCTGATTAAAAGGATTCTATGTTTTTAGCAAGTTCAGTTCTTTGCATTATTTAAAAAATCCACACTAAAGTCAGAGAAGCATATGTTGACAAGAGCTATGCAACTTCTGTCATCAGACACGGTTCCGGATGGAGGGCAAATGGTCTGAAAAATCAGACTTTCCACGCTTACTTATGTTATGACCTCCCTTTCTTGTTTAATCATAATATCAAAATATTCTGAACAACCTTCAATTTACAACTGGATTGCCTTAGCCTCATAAGGAGCTACCTTGCCCAGATAGGCAAGCACCACACCAGGTTGAGAAATTCCTCTTGAAGTCCACAAAAGTGATCTTACAATTAGCTGATTAATAAAAGCAATTGGCTATTATAGCAAAGTCAATATTAAGGCAGTACTAGCATATACTCTCTTATAGCCTGGATGGAGGAAAACCCAAGTCTCATCATTCTACTATTCCACACAGCCTTCTATTTCAGTTTCTAAAGAATCACTCAAACTTTCTACAATCTAGTCTTTAGATAAGGAAATTCACCCAAGTCTCCTATTCAGAGCTAATTAAGTTTTCTATTGTCTAGACTTCAAGGATATTCACTTAAACTAACTAGTTTTCAAAAGAACTTTCTTGTAATTTGATTTACAAGAAAATTTCCTCTTCCAGCCCTCACTTTACTTTACCCCCTAGGATATCTCAAAGAGAATAAAAGTAGTAGATAAGTAGTAGATAAGGTTTAAGGTACTTTATTTTGGTTAATCTTCACTGTAGTAAATATAGTAATAATAGTCTTAAACTTTGTAAATCTATGTACCTGATTATCCTTGATAGATTTTAAAAATGTTGCAATATCAACTAAAGGTCAAAAGGACCCCAGACTATTTTAGAAAAAAGGTGACACTGATCTCAGCCCATTTCATATGCTAATGTCATCCCACTGCTAGCTTGAAATGTATAAAATAAACCTCTGCTGAAGGCAGAGCAGGAAGACTTGTACCCAACTCTGATTCACCTGTCTTCCTCGTGCCCTTTTCCCCTTTTCTAGGAATCTCCACTCTCCGACGCAGCTCCCACCTTGAGACCCTGCCTGTTCTGTCCCCCAATGACCCGTGATCAGGGACAAAGGGTCTCCGACAGTATATATATGTATATATAAAATAATGTAAAATAACAAGGAATACCCTTCATAATTTGAGCTCTAGTATTTATCCAAATTCATCATTTACCAACTCACATTTGTTCCTCTGTGCTTAGCTTTGATTCATCAAAAGCACTGTCTCTACACTGGCAGCAACAGTCCCTTTCCCTGCTGTGACTTCTCCTTTGCTAGCTTTGTCACTTACCTCAAGGGAATGTTCTTCCTCTAAACTTGCAACTTCACCTTTTTCCTCTCCACTCTGCTCCCATATCACACTGCTCTATTATGGTCCTATAATACCATCAATGTTCCACTTCTATATTTTTATTTCATTTTTTTCAGACTGCAGCAGGACTTTCTCAAAGCCAGAGCTGTGTCTTATTTTTTTTTTTTTGTATTCCTAGAATATAATACAGTAAGACTCTAGACACTTACTCATTCAGATGTTCGCTGAATAAGAGAATGGACAGATGATAAGTCTGGAGACCAGAAATTACAGGGATACGATACAAATGATAATTTCATACTCTGGGCTTTTAAGACCAGGTAACAAGGTAACTATGAATATGATTGTTATCTGCTCTGCAACACTTTTTCTGGTGTAGTGGCTCTCAAAGTATAGCTGAGATGCTCTTAGAAGTCTTCAAAACTCTGTTTTAGGGCAATTGTGAGACAAAACTATATGTATAATAATACTAAACATCACTTGCCTTTTTCACTCTCACTCTCCTGAGTGTAGAGTGGGGTATTCTAGAGGCCACGTGATGTGGTACCTAATGTGAGTGAAAGTAGAAACCAGTTTCCTTTAATTAAGCCACATAATAGAGAGATGTGCAAAAGTGTAAGAAATCCAGACTTCTCACACTTAAAAAATGTTATTTATGCTTATATTTACAGGTTGATTATTATTCTAAAATTAACAAATTTTTCTTAGTTTTAATTTCCAACATGGTAACTATTAACAGATATAAATTTTCAAAAGTTCCTTAGCTCTTTTATTTTTAAAAGTGTAAAGGAAACCTCAGACCTAAAGAATTGAGAACCACTACTTTTGTCTTTAGGTAAATTGGTCAAATTGTACAAAATGATCTAAAGCAATTACTCATCCAAAATGCATGAAATGGCTACTTAAGAAGATCTGTAACTCAGAGTTTTCACTTGTGTTTTTCCCCATCATGAATGGGGAAAGTATGAATGGCCATACTTCTTTGAGTATGCATGCTGATATATTTTTTAGCTTCCAGGCCTGTCAAAATATGCTATTTCATCCACTAGTTCTTCCTAAATTTTTACAATTGCTTGTGTTATCTGCCAGTTTGATCTGTAACATTTATTCCAGCTCCCTTTATTTTGTAATTTAATTACTTGTACATTTGTTGCTATGGTGTGAATGTTTGTTCTCCCAAAATTCTATGTTGACATCTTAATACTAAATGTTATTAGGAGGTGAGGTCTTTGGAGTTGTGAATGTGATGAGAGTGGAACCCTCATGGATGGGATTAGTACTCTTGTAAAAGGGATGGAGCTCTTTAGCTTCTTCTACCATGTGAGGCTATAACCAAAGTCTACATCCCAGCCTCTCTCCATCTGATCTGACTATGCTGACACCTGATCTTGGCTTCCAGCCTCTGTAACTGTGAGAAATAAACTGTGGTTGCAGTGGTGTAATGTAATGTGTCTGGGATGAACACACTTAGGTTTGAAGTCTAGCTGCTTCATTACTAATTCTGATACTCTGGGCAAGTTTCTTATATTTTGAGAGATGTTTTGAGGTGTGTCACCCATGTGTTTGAACAAGGGTAAGAATAATTACCCAGTTATCATGTTCATTTATCAGAAATAACTTAGTCCAATGTACAGTGGGCACCCACTAAATGGGAGGCAATATGTTAAAATCTGTAAATCTTGTGTCTCCAACCATATTATCTTCAATGTACAGCCTCAAAATAAATACTTCTTAAGTTAGATTAACTAAAATGTAACATATAGGATCTTTCATAAGGTTCAATTTAAGCCAGTCATGGCCTTCTACTCTTATCTTTTCCTTGCAAGGATTTATCTTTCTGTCCCTCTGAATCCCTCCTCCCCTTTTTTTGCATTCCTTTTAATTTGTAATATAAAGCTCTAATAGATTAAAAAAATTATTTACAATTACCTCTAAGTATATTCTTTTGCTTCCCCCTGTGGTCATTTTTTAGCTACCATTAGGTTGTGGCATAAGTTTGAAGGGCTACACTTTCTTTCTGAAGTTGCTAAAGAGCTATTTTCCTTCCTTCTGCAACAGCAAAAATATATTTATTCTAATCACGTGTATTTTAACATTTCTACAAATAAAATGGACTTGGTAGTCTTATCAAACTTTAACTATATAATAGATATCAGTACTCAGTGGCTGAAGCGATCAGAACACTTTTTTAATCTATAAGGAACTTCTCAAAGAATTAAAAAAAATATACACATGATCACCATTAATTTGTAATAGACCTCAGATATTTCAAACTTTTCAGAAATCAAATTTGAATTGATGCGAAAGAGTATTTTAATTTCAAATTGTTGGAGGTGATAGTGATGGTGGATAGAATAGAATGTGGTCGCAAGAGACAAGCAACCAAATTCTTTGGGAAACTTGTCTTTTTGTCTGTATTTCTCAAAAACTCTAGTTCTAAAAATTCTCTCTTTACATTTCTCCATTTCTTTCTTCTACTACTCACAGCTTTTTTCCTTTTCTAATTGAAATCCCTGAATATAATACCCTGATGTCAAAGGAGGGGAAAGGCTCTCAAGATTGTTATCTGTTTCTAAATCTCTCAGCTTGGTGCAACTAAGTTGTGTCAGCTAGACAGGCTTGAGGATCCCAAGAAAGAATGATTGCACAACCGCCTGCAAGCACTTTCTTACAGCATAATTGACTCATAGTTAGACTTCTGAAGGAGCAGAAACAGAATCAAAACACTGATTTGTGTTTGTTTGGTGTGTCTCTTTCGGTCCTGTACAAATTGTGCTGTTTTAAAATAATTCACATTTACTTTAAAGAACACGCGAAGTGTGTGCATAGGAACTCTCCTGGGATATTATGAAACTCCTGCCAAAGGTGACAGCCAGCCTAAGTGCGGGAGTGCCAAATAGAAACGAAGAACCTCACGGAAAAACAACAGACGTGTGTTACAAAACGTGTGTAAGAAAATGGTGTCTTGAAACAGAAGCCTAATTGTGGCGGGTCCTTCAAGGTCCGTGAGAAGAATGGACAGGAGAGAAACCGAGGAAAGGGGCAGTGTCGGAGCCATGGGCAGAGATACTATATTGCAGAGACTTAAAGAAGATTGGAGGTGTCACCCTGCTTGCTTCTCTTTCTAAGGTTGAACAAAACCTCTCTTTATTCCCGGGCTGTGGTTGCCTGCACCCCCCCTCCCCCACTAGGAGCCAGTCACCTCTCTCCCACTGCCTTCTCCCACTGCTCCTTCCCAAGAACGATGTCACCCACCTCCGAGGACTGTGCCCAGGAAGATGCACTTCTTTTTGTGACGTTTCAGAAAATTCCACATAGCTCTCAGCATCTTTAGATCCCGGAGGTGCGGGCTGTGTAGAGGTAGGAGGGTGGCTCACCAGGAAACCGCTTCTTCGTCACCTGGCCCGGACGACCCAACTGGAGCGCCGTTGTCCCGCTGGGTGCGCTCCAGAAACCACAAACGCGACTTTCCGCAGAGACTGTCACCGAGCGGGAAGGGGGCGTGGACTACAGCCGAGCAGCTGCGCTTTCTGCCGCGGCCGCCGCCGCCGCTCACTGGTCCCGGGCACCCAGGTCCGTCCAGAATTCGCTCCCGGGTGCCTCGCTGTTTCACTCCCCCCGGAAACAGCAGCCCGCACCGCTGCGTTCCGCTTCTGGCCGCCGTGCGCCGCGGCCTGAGGGGTTGCATGGAGGCGAAGGCAGAGTCCGCGCTGGTGACCCGAGATGCGCGATCTGTGTCGGCGGAGGAGATCGAAAAGTGGATGGAGGAGGCTATGCACATGGTGAGGAGCTGGGGCCGTGGCTGCCGGGGGTGAGAACTTTTTCCCGCCCTCATCCCCCAGCTGATCATTCGCGCAAACGCCTAGGGGGTGCGTTCTCGCTCCCCTCCTTCGCCACCCCCCCACCCCCGCCCCCGCACCCCATCTCATGGACACTAAAATGCCCCGGGTTAACAGCTGCCTTTACTGCCCTGAAATGTTCTTCACTGAGTTCTCACGGTGACTTAGGAGGAAGGAAGAAGAAATACAGACAAGATTTATTTTTCACAGGCAAGGAGTGTGTCCAAACTTGACCCTGTTCGGCGCACGCAGGCACGTACGAGCTGCGTCCTCTTGCGTCCTGGACACACTAGCAAATCAGCGAACTAATGTGTTCTGTTTCCGACCCCTGAACATACCTGGTGGTGGAAGGAAGGCAGGAAAACATCGAGGATGTCTTTCTGGTAGACAGCAGGCTTAAAAACAAGTCCCTGTACAGTTTCTACCATTCATTCATCCACCCTCTTGCTCTCTGCCCTTTTATTTCCTTCTTTCTATCCCATCAGTAATTCTGGTTAAGGTCTCTGATCAGATTTGTGTATAATCCGAGCGTTACTAATTTGTATGTGCCAACGAGCTCCCTAATAGGGATAAACGTGTGCATTTGCATATATACACATGCAGTTTGGCGCGTGTATGTGTGTATATATGTATACGAATACAGACTCATGCAGCTATGAAATGTCCTACAGTTTTACATTTCTCTAATGCGACTGTAAAATTTTTCAAGCTTTTTTTTTTTAAATCATGTCCTTCCTCAGTGGTCTCTGTTAATTAACTTAGTTCATTAAATCTAAATCATCTTTTCATTTATTCGTTCCACAAATATTTGTTGAGTGCGCTGTGCTTTGCTTCGGGGAATCAGCATTCAAACGGACACTGTATGTTCCTTCTGTTCTCCTTATTTCACCTGCATTCATTCATATTACAGCCAAATATTTTCCTCTAAGTTATTACGCATTAGGTCAGTTTTTGTTACTGACATAATGTTCTTTCAAAGTTGATTCTCATGCCTTTTTGAAAGTGACTCAGTTAAAAAAAATTCTATTTTATGTTATAACCTTACTGGGTAATACATGCACACTTATAACTGAAGCAAAAATCTCATGCAACAGTATTCATTCTCCCTATGAAGTTTTCCTGGTATGTTTTTTATTTCATTAAAAAAAAATTTGGTCATGACTCACTAACTTGATTTCATGACATCATGACTTATTTTTAAAGTCCACTTTAAAATTTATTTCCTCCATAAACATGGAATTCATAATCTTCTATCTGATACTTACCAGTTTGCATGGGGAGAGGAGAGTAAGATCAAAACAAGGGTGGGAAGAGCACAAGGGACTATGGTGATGGCATATGGGTGAATTGGTGGTGGTATTACAAGACAGAGAGTCTGCAAACCTGCCTGCACTAAATAGGTTCTGCCATCTGCCACATCAATACAAGGCATAAGAGCTTTAATGGAAAGGAACTTTAATACAATGAGGGTAAAATACAGAGGACAAAGAATATAATTTCTAAATCAAATACCTGAAGTGACCCATCCCCTCGTGGGTAAAAATCCACCCAAAAGGGATTGACCCAGAGCAAGGCCTGAAAGCCTCCCCAAGCCTAAAGTACCTTCTGGCCGGGACCCATAGAAAAGGGTCAGATATGACCAGACAAGTCTGGGAGGAAAAGAGCACAACAAAATCAATATAAACACAAAATCAATATAAAGAGCACAATCAAAATCATAGTCAACCTCCCCATGGGTCTCTCACCCATATCTCTTTCAACCAGTCCAGGGCCAAGAAACAAGCATGGTTCCTTTACATGTCTCTCTTTATTCCATGTGGCTTCCTCAGGTCTCCTTCTGGCTCTCCATCCTGCTTCCTTCTTCAGATCCCTTCTCTGCGCAGCTCCAGGCTCCTTCTAGGTGGGGCAGTGAACCTGGAACTTCCCCTTTTCCTGGGGGCCCCCCAGTTACAGTGGGAATACCACCAAACTACAACTGACATGAAAGAGCATACATTGTACAAAATGAAAAATGATGTGAAAAATATATAAAGTTAAAAAATTCACTTATGCATAAAACTGTGTCATTTGTTACATGGGTTTGTGTGTCTTGAAGTCCTCTTATGTTACCAAAGTCTCCAAGTTGGAGGTGAGTTTTCATGTGATATCAATATCCCACCCCAATGCACTTCAATAATATATGCCAGACAGCTTCTTCTTACTAAATAGTAGGATGATGAAATAATAAAGGCACCTGGAAGCTAAGATATCTTAGAGAGCTGCATTCATTTCCATCTATGGGTGAGGCATCTGTAGAAGACATGGCTGAATACTGGAAATTCACTATCTGTGATCTGTTCCATTTTCCCTTTTCTTCAGGAATTCACTCCAAAGTATTTATATGTGGAACTTGCCTAAATGAAATTTTCAGACCTGCTCCTTCATAGGATTCAGTGGTTTGAAAAACAGATTTAATCAGGCATTGAGCTTTTCTACTTAAGGATCAGACACTTTTCTTTTTAACCTCTTATTTTGAGACTTTTTTCCCCCTCATGCATCCATTCTAATACCTTGGAACATTTCATCCACTCACTTCTGTCAAGTTCTGCAGATCTGTGAGCTAAAGAAGCCAAGATCCTTTTACTTCCTTCAGAGGTGACCTTGGATAAGTCACTTCTCCCCCTAAGGCTGTGACTCCTATCCTATAAAATGAGATAGCTGAACTCCAAATCTCCAAATAGTTTCTAAGATCTCTGTAACCTTCACCTTTTTTTTTTTTCCTAATTGAACGGGACAGATTTCTTAGGAAAAAGAGAAAGGAAAAAAGAGGCATCTGCATAGATATAAGTGCTGCTGCTCTGCTTTTGGAAGGGAAAAGTTTGTTAAAAGAGACACCCACATGGACACAGGCAGAGAATCTTGGGACAGGAGCTGCTAACGTTGACAGTTTTGTCTCTGAATGGATTACAGACATGTAAGTGTGATAATGTAGTTTATCTATTCCTGCACAGACTTTAGGAGACCTTTAGCATATTTTGTTCATTTGGGTTTGTATGTGTTTCTTCCAGGCCTTAAACAAAGGGAAAAATATGTTTGTCATAAATCTTGTGCTTTGTTGACCATGCCCTTGTACCTAAAGAAATTAGAATTGTTGGAGTATCTACAAGTGTACTTGTACTTCTGAGAGGAGTTTAAGGTTAGCGCAGAAGCATGGTTAGAGGCGTATCTGGAGGCAGCAAGTTACTCTTGGGTGTATGTTGAAGAATCTGAAACTCACGTGATCAGTGGCTATGTCATAAGGAGAATACTAACATCCTCATTGCATTTGTACAGAGTAGGCGTATTTATGTTTCCAGTATAAATAACTAGAATGTCTGGCTCTCATGTGACCAGGGAATTGAACAGTTTCTGGGCCTTACTTTCTTGATGTTTAAAAGAAAGGGATTACACTAGAATTTCTGTCCTAATCATTGCTTTTACAATACAGACATAAGGAGTTATTACTAAAGTTAACCAGGTTTTGTGAAAATATGAACACAACCCTACTCATCTGATAGGTACAATATGTTTGGAAGTCATCCTGGCATAATATAGTTAATTAGCAGTCACAATAAAAATATGGTATCATTTGACTCAGCAATATGGTGCGGTGGTATATATCTTAAGGAAACAGTTGAAAAGATACAAGTAGTCATTGTTATTTCAGTGTTATTTGAGTTGTATATGGGTGAAAACCAGGAAACGTTCCAAACTTCCCATAAAGGGAAATAAATAATGAAATTGGAGCGTATCACTGTGTAGGATAAGGTGCTGTTATTAAAATCATTATGGATATTCATAGTCTATGACCAGTGGGCACCCAAGGACACCAAAATATTAAGGAGAATATCTCATCCACGTGTTTCTTTTAAGTGTCTACATGTCTCCTCTACTAATTAGGCATCCAAGTTTTAGGGGATCTAGAAAAGTAGTTGTGTGTGCACCTTTTAGATTTGCAGACTTATAGAAAGTATATAGCTTTGAAAGGGATTCTTGAAAGGGATTTTGGCTCCAAAAAGGCTGAGACCTACAAGAAAAAACGAACATGACCATGTTTCAAAGAGCCAGGGGTGGGGGTGGAGTGGGCAGTAGTGGGAGGCTCTCATTGTAGGTTGAGCAATTTAAATTGATGGAGGGGGACGCCCTGGTGGTTTAGGGGTTAACATTTCAGCACTATCACACTATCAGCAGCCTCTAGCATGATTTGATCCCTGGTCAAGGCTGACCCACATGGCTGGCAGACCTCTCCTGTCTTACCAACTGCTCCCCTCAACAGTATATTTCAGTTGATCTGTGTTGTGCTCCCCACTTTGACTCTGGTGAATCCTCTCACCCCCCTACACCTCTGGCTAACAACCCAGTTCTAGTATGCATAAATAAAATAAATAGATGGAGGACAAATTGCCATTAATAGTAACAGTTAGAGCTTGGATTTAACTTTTTGGATGTTATTTTTTTCCCTCAGAAGTGTTAAATATGTCTTTTCCACTGTTTTTTTTTTTTTTTTTTAGATTTATTTATTTATTCGTACAGAACTGGGGTATAGGCCAGAGATGCGGAGGTGAGAGGATTCACCAGAGACAGAGTGGGGAGCAGAACAGGCAGATCGACGAAGTATACCGCTGAGGGGAGCAGTGGGCAGACAGGAGAGGTCTGCCGTGTCATGTGGTCACCTCTGGGGCAGTTGTGGTCACCTCCAGGGCAGGTGGGGATCAAACTCATGTGGAAGTGGCTTAAGCTTCTTAGTGCTGTGCTTTAACCCGCTGCGCCACCGGGGAGGGCCCATTTTCCACTGTTTTGTTTTGTTTTTCATAGGAAATTTATCTGGGAACTCTTTAAGGGTTGGTGCAGAGTGCAAGCTGTCTGCCATTCTTCCCCTTATCACCACATCATAAGAAAGTAATTTATGGGACTGATGGCTCCGGAGAAGTGACAGTCTCTTCTCTCCTAGAACTGCCATCATCTGGGACAGGCGGGCCCTGGCTAGAGGGAAAGAAATGGCATTTACAGACAGCAAAGACTGTAGTTTGGATGGGCTAGAGAGGTTTCATTCCTTGATTTTGAACGGTGATTATTTGTTAACTTACGTAAGACCAAGTTGATATCTTAAATAGTAACTGGGCCTTAGGCTCTCCCTCTAGAGACAGGATAGCTTAATCCCAACTGCACACATTTCAGATCCATTTTGCCGAAGTCCTTTTGCGTCATAAAGAAATGATCAGAGTTTACAAAAGTGTTGGTGGCATCATTGGAAAGTATGAAACGGGATGGAATGAAAATATTTTCAGCATAGTTAAATCTATTTTGACCTTGATAGAATGTATATAGACATACTTGCACTCATACATATATATGCATATATATTTAATTTTTAAACTTTTTCTTAAACGATTTACTTATTTATGCATACAAGAACTGGGGTACAGGCCAGAGGTGTAGGGGGTGAGAGGCTTCACCAGAGACAGAGTGGGGAGCAGAGCAGGCAGATCTAGGCTAGTGAAATACCCTGCTGAGGGGAGCAGTGGGCGGGTCAGGGGAGGCCTGCTGAGCCATGTGGGTCATCTCCCTGGCTGTGGCTGAGGATCAAACTCGTGCTGCAGTGGCTGTGGATCACTACATAGTGCTGCACTTTAACCCATTGTGCCAACAAGGAGGGCCTTGTTTTCACACTTGAGGTCAGTAAAAGCTGCTGCTAACCCCTTTCTTGGGAAATTTCTTTGGGGTTCTTTTTCTCCTGCACTTTCTTTTTCTCTTGTTTCATTAGGCATGCCTGTCCAGTTCCAACCACTTCTCATTGGTCATTTCCTCAGGAACTACCTCTTGCAATTCCTCCAGGGCTTCCTCATCTAGCCCGGCTGCCAGTTGTTCACCATCTCAACCACAGACATGCTGCTCAGCCTTGGCAAATCCTTTAGGTCACGCACAAACCTCCTGAGCATCTTCTCTCAGATGCTGCCACCTAGGCCTGATGACATCACCTCGAGCCTAAGTAAGGTTTTTGGTACACAGAGGCTTGAAATCCAAAAGAGCAGCAGTACCTCAGTGGCAGCACTGGTCTGGCAGAGTTCCCCTCTGGTGGTGGGCTTTCCATGTTGCTTTAACTACCTGATCCATGTGAAAAAAAGAGGTAGTGTTTGGTGGGAGAAACACCACTTTGTTATTGGTATGCAGAAACCAATCAAAGGAAGGTGGCTGTCTCAGAACATTATCAAAACAAGCAAAATCTCAAAAGCATGGTACTCTCCATGCAGTACTTCTGTGTGTCACTGGCATGGCAATTCAGGAGGGCATCCTAGAGGAGGAGCTGGGTTGCCCATGACTTCACATTGGGCCTGCAGTACTATGGCAGTGGACACTGACTGATGTGACTGACAGGAAGTTTGCAAACATCCTATTTAGTTTGTCCTTTCTTCCTCTTAGCAGAGAGTATTAGCTTCCTGTGAACAAATTCCCACCCAGTTAGTTGCTTAAAACAACACAAGCTTGGCCCTCCCTCATGGCGCAGCGGGTTAGGACTCAACACTGAAAGCAAGCTGCAACCGCTTCAGTGCAAGTTCAATCCCTGGCCCTGGAGGTGACCCACATGGCACAGCAGACCTCTCCTGTCTTGCTCGCTGCTCCCCTCAGCAGTTTACTTCATTGATCTGCCTGTTCTGCTCCCCACTCTATCTCTGGGGAATCCTGTCATCACCCCTGCATCTCTGTCCTGTACCCCAGTTCTGTATGCATAAATAAACAAGTCTTTAAAAGAAAAAACAACACAAGCTCATGCTCTCATAGTCTGGAGGCCAGGAGTCGGGAGTCCGTTCATCTGGGCCAGCGCGACTGCAAGACTGCATTCCTTTGGGGGTGCAGAGGAGTATGGCCCCTCACCTTTTCCTGCTCCAGAGTCAATTCCTTGCTTGGCCCAGGTCCCCTTCCTCTGCCTTCAAATCCACCAGTGTAGCATCCTCAGATCGTGCTGTCTGTTTCATTGTCACATTGCTTTCAATTTTCGTTGTCCAAGTTCATTCTGCCTCTCTCATAAGGACACTTGTTATTGCATTGAGGACCACTTGACTAATCTCAGATAATTTTCTGATCTCAAAATCTTCAACAAATATTTGTTGGCTGAGTAAATGACTTGTGTACCTGGGGTGATGTGCCATCCTAAACTTACCTTAAATAACTTCCTGAGTGGGATGATGGCCTGAACTGCTCTGCTGATTAGCTTTCCCGCCTCCCTAGCTGTCACTCTTCCTCCTGGCCTTCCTTTCTATAGTAGACTATGGTGCATTTGCAAATTATTTTTATGTATTTGCAAACCTTCGTGTGTTTCAGACTTTCTACCTTTGCATCCACTGGGAATGCTTTAATGGTTTTTATAGAACCGGGACCGAATGAGGCTATGGGTAGTTTGTGATTAGGCCTGAGGAATGCAGTCTTGCTGCTTGTGTTACTTTTTCCTTAGCTCTATCCATGCTCATCTGTGTTTCTTTCTTTCCAGTGGTCTTCTCAAGTAGTGAACATTACATGTTAGATTTTTCACTTTGTCTTTCAGGCGAAAGATGCCCTAGAAAATACCGAGGTTCCTGTTGGCTGCCTGATGGTCTATAACAATGAAGTTGTCGGGAAGGGAAGAAATGAAGTTAATCAGACCAAAAATGTGAGTGACTTGCATGGTGTAATGGCAAGCATGTGGCAGTGACAGTGAGGGTGGAGTCAGCTTACTGGTTGGTGGGAATCCGACCTCGTAGAGAGCCCCAGTCCCATGAAGGGCTTTCCTGTAGCAGCTCTTTTTTAAAAAATAATATAATTTATTTATATATATTTTACTCCATTGTTCATTTTTGTGCATTGTTTGCATTTTTTTAAGATTTATTTATTTATGCATACAGAGCTGGGGTACAGGCGAGAGGTGCAGGGGTGGCGAGAGGATTCACCAGAGACAGAGCGGGGAGCAGAACAGGCAGATCGATAAAGTCCACTGCTGAGGGGAGCAGCAGGTGTGTCAGGAGAGGTCTGCCGCGCCATGTGGATCTCCTCCGGGGCTGGGGATCAAACTCCTGCTGGAGTGGCTTTAGCTTCTTAGTGCTGTGCTTTCACCTGCTGAGGGCCACCAGGGAGGGCCTCCATTGTTTACTTTTTTGTGTGCCTTTTATTTTCTTTATTCTGAAAGTGGCATGTGTTTATCCTTTTACCTTTGGAAATTCAGAAATATGTAATGAAGCAGTTAGATCTTCAGGACTAATTTCCTTTTCATGGAGTTTTGCTTTAAGACTTGAGTGAAATGTAAGGAAGAGTTTAATAACCTCACAGTGTCATTTTAAACAAACTCATATACACAAGTTTTGATTTTTAGAACTTCATTTTAACTTGTATGGCATTCTTAATAATTCTTTAAATAATGTGTTCCTCAAAGTAAGAAATCATCTTCAATTTTCAGCATTTTGACGCTGACTGGGGGAATGCAAATTGGTCCAGCCACTCTGGAAACCTATGTGGAAGACTCAATAATTCCTCTCCTATGAATCTACCCAAAGGAAACAAAAACATTAATTCAAAAGGAAACCTGCACACCTATGTTCCTTGCAGCACTGTTTACAATAGCTAAGATATGGGAAGGACCTCACTGCCCAAAATCAGGTGACTGGATCAAGGAGATGTGATATATATATACCTAGTGGAATATTACTCTGCAATCAGAAAGATAAACTCATGCCATTCACAGCTGGAAGGGATTATAGTCAGTGAAGTCAGTCAGAAGGAAAAAGAGAAATAATGTCTGATTTCACTTATAGGAGGAATATAGGGAAACCATACAAGAGGGGAAAGATAGATAAGACTAATAGGCAAACTATAAATCGGTGACATTCAGGTGGGTGAAGGATCAAAATGGGAGGGAAGAGCATGTAAGAGTCTATGGTGAAGATTCGCGGGTGTCTTGGTGGAGGGACTTTTATGGGGAGTACACCTGAAAGGAGAAATCAAAGATTGTACAAAAGTGCACAATGATGTAAAAACATATCAATAAAATGTTTTAAAGCCTCAATTATAATCTGTGGTAGTGTAAAGGAAACAAAGAATAGTTATGTAATAACTGAATAGTTATGTAATTTTTAATTTATTATGGCTAAGAAGTCCATGAATTAATGCAGTGCTTCTAGAACATAGCACAACCGTATTTAATGGTAAGTTTGAAGTGTTAAATTTTATGATTATAGTAGTGGACTCAAGGGTAGTGAAAACCACCTCTCAGAGACTTCAATCTTGAAAGCCATATAAAAAGCTGATGTTGGTTTTAGTGTTATGGGATTTTAAAGTTCATCCATCACATCTATCAAAAAGGAAATAGTTAGGAAAACACATGCAAAATAGAAAGCCAGATTCACAAAGCAGCTATTGTGTGAATATTCATGAAATAAACATATAGAGCAGCAGTTAGTGAATATACAGATGCTTATGTGGTAGTAGAAGTCTGTGATTTTTTTTTTCCATTTCCAATGAGTTGGTTTAATGCTAGGTAGTGCAGAAATTGGGTATTTTAAATATTTGTCTTATCTCCCTATTTGTATTTGATGGTTTGGTTCTATAGCTTTAACATGAGAACTTTTTCCTAATGAGAGCCTTCTAACCATGCTTAATGACTTGGCTTCTTCAATACCTTGATATTAACCTGGATTTATTTTGGCATATGTATCCTAAGAAGATTACTATATAAACATAATATAGACGGACTCAGCCCCAAGTGAGGAGACTTGAGTTCTGCTGGGCTCCATTCATGTCTCCACGCTGGGCTCCATTCATGCCTCCCCCACTGCCTTGTTGCCTGGCTGTGTCAATCCATCCTGACATGGCTTAGTTTCTGGTTCTGCAGCAGTAGCAGAGGGCGCTGATTGAGATGATTCAGCTCATCCCAGTTATTCATTGAGAACTCTTCAGTGGGGAGATTGGATTTGATAATTCTTTTATTTTTAAGTGTTCGACTAGGGGAAGCTTTTTTTAATTTTCTAGTTGGTTCTGGATGCAGCTGGGCTTGGGATCTCTTCTCTAAAGTACTTTCCAGCTTTGAGTTTGTAATTCTGGGGCAGTGTCCCTCCCCTCCCTCTCTGGCCTCCAGTCATCTGGGGCCACTGTTGCAGCCTATTCCACACCCTGCTTCAAGTCCCAGGTAAAAGAGCATTTTTCTGTTTGTTAATGAAGACTGAGATTTTTTTTTTCATGTGGTGGTTTATACATAGCTTGCATTCAGTGTTAAGTTTGCTGATGGAGGCAGTGATCACAAATAGTAAAATTCAGCAGGGTGCTTTATGTAATTCAGATTGCCTTATGAGCTATAGATAGCAGTATACCCCACGGTCCATGCAGAAAACCAAGGCTTAGAGAACCGAGGTAATTTGTTAAAGGCCACATAATTGGAAATCATGGTCAGGATTCACATTTAGATAGGTTGATTCTCTCTACAGCCAGCCAGAGTATTAAATCTGATCCCAAAGAAAATGTAAGTGATGACATCTTAGTAAACTAAATATAGATTTGCTTAGAGTGAGGTCATTGACTGCCATTGGAAACTGGAGCACAAGCTTAGAAAAGTTTCAAACTTTTTATAAAATATTCAGAAACCATTGCCTCATCTTTTTGGATTTTTTTTTTTTTTTTGAGATTGAGCATCGCTATGGCATTATCATCGAGTGTTCCCACTGTAATCGGTACTTACATATAAAAAGAGCTTCCTCCGTGTGACATCTCACAACATCTGGAGTTAGCGAGGCTGTGACCTTGAGCTAAGGGTGCATTGTCCGTTCCTAAGGTGTCCAGAAACCTTTACTCATCAAAACCTTGGCAAAAACAGCCCATTGCTTTGTACTTACTTTTGAAAATTGTAGAACAGTCACATGCTGCAAACAATATCAGTGCCAGCAAATCTTTCTTTTCAGGCTACTCGACATGCAGAAATGGTGGCCATCGATCAGGTCCTCGCCTGGTGCCAGGGCTGCGGGAGGAGCGCGGCTGAGGTGTTTGAGCACACGGTGCTGTACGTCACGGTGGAGCCGTGCGTCATGTGTGCGGCCGCTCTGCGCCTGATGAGTATCCTTTGACGTCATCTTTGTCCTCTGCCCGTGAACTGGACAGTGGCTACCTTCTAGAGTAGGAAAGCCGATTTATCAAGCCCATTATAGAAAATGTGTATTATAAAGTATATTAACAAACCTGCAATTATTAAGTACATTAGAGGAAAAAAGCATCCAACTAACTTGTTAGGTAAAAGTAAATCCTATGGTAGGTGATAAAACTTTGTTTTGGAAAAGGTATGAAGAATATTTGCCTTTTGACAATAGTTATAGCTGATTTGAATTTTTTTTATTTATATGTATTTGTTTATTTTTGCCATGACTACCTGTGACAAAGTGTGAAAAGTTTTAGTCAGAAATAATCATGGTGCAATAAACAAATAATTCATAGTATAATTGGAAGGAAACGGGAAATTGAAAGGTCATAGCTCCTTGAAGTGTGCCTTGAGTAGAATAAGTGGTAACAAATATTGACTGTAACAAGTTAGTCTCAGATCTTTAAAAAAATTATTTGGTAGTTCAAAAACTTAGTTTCACACTTTCATATTCTTTATGTACTTTACTGGGTATGTGTGAATCACTTCATCATGTTAAAAATAATATGGAAGTTTTTGATTCTGATAATGTGTATACTCTTTAAAAAGGGGATTATGATCACCTCAGAATTCTCTTCCCATGCTGCCTCTCAGCTCAGCTTTCATCTGTTTTGTGTTGGGATGCAGGATAATACTCTATCTGGAGAAAAACAGGGAGCCATTTGTTGTTTTTTAAAGGTGAAAAACCCTGGATTAAATTTCTTCCTCTTTTCTGGCTCCAATTCTCTAATGATTCTGAAAAAGTGATGTGGGAGAGACCAGTGAATGCGCCAAGCTGAACTTTTATCTGCTGCATGTTTGGTCTTATTCTATTTGCAATAACAAGATGCTGGTTATACATCCTTTAAAATCTTTTTCTTTTGTGGAACTGGATTGCGTGTTTTTAACACTCAGCGTAAGCGTAATGGCTTTTAAGAATGGCACGAACTTTACTCTGCAGCTGGAATAAACAAAAGCCCACCTCATGTGTCGTGATACACACTTGAATGGCACATTCTCTGTAGAACCTTAATTCTTTCCTATAAATCCCACTGGTTGTATACGGCTGTCAGAACGAACGCTTTGGTGGTTGTGGCTCTATTCTGAATATTGCCTCTGCTGATTTACCAAACACTGGGAGACCATTTCAGGTAAGTTGACTTGCTTTTCCTCTCATTCTAATTGCTTTCATCTCATTATGAGCTTGTGAACAGTTAGTGTGTGATCAGTGTATCGAGAAGCCAGCATGGAACCAGTAAGGCTCCCATGATCTCTAGTCAAGTTCATTTAAACCTCCGTAAATGACAACAGGTAGTGGTTGGTTGGTGAATGCCTTGCGATCTTAATTAAGTGACTGTCCTGAAGGAGAGTCCCTAGCCTAATGAGTTGCCTCTGTCATCACCAAGGCCTTCAGGTAGGTGTGAAACCACTCCCACCATTCACATAAAGTCATTTAGTACCTGGCCATTAAACCTATATTTTCATTATTTTTTCCCCTACCACTTCATTGTTGTAATTTCCACCAGATAGAATAGACCACATTTCTTTCATCTTCTCTTAGAAATTGTACTTTATTTTAATCTTGTCATTTGTCCTAGTTTTATGTTTGTTTAGGGTTATGAGCAGTATGAATTTGTTTTTCATAGTTTGAACTATAGATGCATATCAATTTTCATCAGCTTGTTTGGTTATTTTTCTTTTCATGATATAAGAGTAACTCTAAAAGTATTATGCTTCATAAGAAAAGCACGTGAGTAGAGGCAGTTAACGTCAAAGACTGCAGATATTAAATAAGTAAGGACTAAATTAGACTGAATTCCAAAGAGAATAAGTTTTTGAAGACATCCTGTTTTGAGTGTTACCAGCTGTATATTACCTGTCCTAGCCAGTTCTGAATATTTTAGAATAGATGATTTTAACATTGTCAGAAAAGAAATTATATTAGAATGATGGAGAGTAAGCAATACAGTGAGCTTCATTCACCTCTATGTGATACTTTGCAGATCACTCTTGACGGTTTTTCATTGATAAGAAAGAGGTAAAGAATTTTTCAGAACTGGCCCTCTCTGGTGGTGCAGCTAGTTAAAGTGCAGCACTATGAGGCTCTCCGCAGCCACTGCAATGTGAGCCAGAGAGCTGACCCACATGGAGCAGCAGACTTCTCCTGTCTCCCTGCTGCTCCCCTCAGCAGTGTGCTTCAGTACATCTGCCTGTTCTGTTCTCCACTCTGTCTCTGATAAATCCTCTCACCATCATCCCCCACCCCCACACCTCTGGCTTGTACCCCAGTTTCTGTGTACATAAATAAATCTTTTTTTTTTTAAAAGATTTTTTATTTGTGCATACAGAACTGGTGTACAAGCCAGAGTTGCAGGGGTGGTGAGAGGATTCACCGGAGACAGAGTTGGGAAGTAGAACGGGCAGATCAATGAAGTATACCACTGAGGGATTAGCAAGTGGGCCTGGAGAGGTCTGCCATGCCATGTGGAACACCTCCAGGGCTGGGGATCGAGCTCATGCTGAAGTGGCTTCAACTTCTTAGTGCTGTGCTTTAACCCGCTGTGCCCCAGGGAGGGCTTAATCTTTTTTTTTTTTTTTTTTTTAAAGAATTTCACAAAACTTTGGAGAAAGAACAAAGATGAGCCCTTAGTTACCAGGTGGGATTAGACTGTTTCTCCCCTATGTGTCAGTGACATCAAGGGCACTAACAGTCCTGTGGGACTCATCTCCACACAGGATGGATCTGGCTAGTCACTAAGTTCATTTGCGGTACGCACATCTGGCCACATGGACTCATTGAAAAGAATGGCCATGGTTTGAAGTGCTATTTCCAGCTGTGATGCTGTGAGCTATTTTGAATTTTGACATGCTCAAGAAACCATTGATGCTTCAGACTTCTGAAGGCTATATTTTCTTCTTATTATTTGACTGGGTCAAAGAGGAAGAGTGAGGACTGGGTTTGTGGGCGGTGGACTGCTGTTTTTATAATGCAGCTATAAATTCTTTTAATACTATGTTACAGGTAGCATTAAAGTTCATAGAGGAAACCTTCTGAACCATTCTTTTCAGCAATGATGGTGATTAATTTATATTGTTTAACCTGTTCCATTAAAAATTTATTTAATAAATAAATGTGCTCTCTGTTAAAGCCATAAATTCCCTATGGATGCTTGAAAATCTTATCTTGATATCTCAGAGAGATGCTGTTTCTTTCTTCCCCTAAAACTCAGCATCCCTTGTCCCTGACTGTGCATAAGACTCACCTGGAGAGCTTTTAAACACACCTGCACTTGACCCCTTCCTGGACCAGTGCATCTGCAGGATGGGGGTGGGGCGGGAAGGAGGCAATCCTTTAGACCATTGTATTGGGCAGCCAGGTTGAGAGCCATGGAAGTGAACACTGGGACCTGGCACGTGAGTGCTATGAAAGAGTAAGGGGAGAGATGGGGCCCCCTGGGCAACACATACTTCACTTGGCAGCAAGAGAAGGGACTGTTGGGAAGGATTAAGGACTAGCAGCCCAGGGAGCCAACTTGCAAGAAGGATGGTCAGTAATTACTGTGACTACACAGAATTGAGGAGGATGGAAAGGAGACCAGAGGCTTGGTCTGTAGGGGGTTATGGGGTCCTGACAGGGCAGCTGTGGTGATATCCTGGGAGCACAAGCAGTGAGGGATGAGGTTGAAGAAGAAATGAGAACCACACTTATAACTTTGAGTCTGCAACGTTCTCAGGGAAGACTAGGGTTAAAGCTTGTCTGGAGGGTAAAGTGGAAGGTAGTTTTTCGTTTGCTTTTCCTATAGCTTTATTGAGATATAATAGACTTATAACCTTTTGTAAGTTTAAGAGGCACATTGTGATGATTTGGTACACATGTTTTGTGGTTTACAATACCAATGTTAAGAATTAGGTTAGTTACCCTATCCTTCATCTCACATAGTTACCAACTTGTTGTTATGGTAAGCAAATTTAGGTTCTGCTTTCATACCAAGTTCCAATGCTTATAGTATCCACACACTATATGCACCATGCTGTACAGCACCTGACTTTACTCATCTAATTATTGGACCTTCATACCTTGCGATCATTCTCCCTGCTCCTCCCATCCTGTGTGGCTCCCAAATACAGCTGCCAGCTACACTCTTTCTATAAAGAAAATGTGTGTGTGGACACACACACACACATACACACACACACAGTGGAATATTACTCAGCTACAGAAAAGGCAGTAAGTGCTTGGGATAACATGACTTGACCTTTAGGGCATTGTATTAAGATAGAGAAAGATAAATTCCCTCATTGCTTGATGGGGAAGGTCTCTGCAAGCGTTTTGTAGATATGGACAAGATCAGACTGAAGGCAGAAGACAAAGGCCCAGAACCAAGGCCCAGAGTAAGGCCTTTCTAGTTCCCATATCTTGGGGCTTCCTTCTACACAACCCAAGTTTATTCCTACTGTTCTCTGACCTGCTGTGCTCAGCTTCTCTAGATGTCCTCTACCTTTAGGACAAGTTCAAGTTTCATCTTCTCCATGTAATGTTTCATATATTATTTATCCTGAGTGTTGACACAATTTCTTATTTTTCCATATGTGTCAATCTCTTCTCTCCAGTTAGATACCAAAGTAGAATAAAGTGAATACTTAAACGAAACCTCTATAGTCAGGATAGACACATTTTTAAAAAATAATATTAAGACATGCTAGTAAATTGTTTAACCTTCATGAGTCTCTTACAGCTCTGTCATATATATATTTCAACAACTTTTAAAAGAAATATAATATCATTTTTAGTTATGGAATGGCAACCCTAGCTCTATAGCAGCAAACAATTATTGGGCCACCAGTAAATAATAGCAATAAAAGTAGCTAATGCTTAATGAACAATTAGGATGGGCCAGCTCTTCAACAGGTATTTTATTTAATCTCATTTAATCCTCACAAAATTCCTCTGAAGGGAAGTGCTGTAATTAGCGTGACTTTACATATGAAGAAACAGGCATAGAAAGTTTTATCAAGCATCTTCTCAAAGATCACATAGCTAATAATTAATAACTAATAATAGTTGATTGAGAAACAATTGGTGGTTTGACAGTTACATCTGTCTACGGCAATACAGCAGATCTTAAAATGACCTTGTTTTAGCACATTTCTTTCTTTCTTTTTTTTAAAGATTTATTTATTTATTCATATACAGAACTGGGGTACAAGCCAGAGGTGTAGGGGTGGTGAGAGGCTTCACCAGAGACAGAGTGGGGAGCAGAACAGGCAGGTGGAAGAAGTACACTGCTGAGGGGAGCAGTGGGAGAGACAGGAGAGGTCTGCTGCGCCATGTGGTCACCTCTGGGGTGGGGATGGAACTCACATGGAAGGGCTGTGGCCAGCTTGCAGTGCTGTGTCCTAACCCGTTGTGCCACCAGGGAGGGCCCCATTTACTTCTTTAAAAAGAAATCCCTACCAATGAATGAAGCTCAGGGACCTGGTGTTATATGTCCTTTTGTTTAATAATAGTTTTGTATTGATGTCATTAGTACATGCTGTATATCCATACTCCTTTGGAAATGCAGTTCTCTGCCTGTGTTAGAAAAATCTCCACAGTGTGCTAACATTATCTCACGTATGTTTACAAATTCTTCATGTGTTTTTGTTTTTATGGAGTCAGTACATATTTTATAGGTCTGCATTCATTCTTAGATTTCTCATTTCTCCAGTGCATTCCAGGATATCGGGCTGAGGAAGCTGTGGCCATGCTAAAGACCTTCTACAAACAAGAAAACCCCAACGGTCAGTTTCCCCTACTGTACATGACACAGGTCACTTAAAACAGCTTAAAGAGTGTCTGACATGAACCTGTCTCTTCATTTTCTTTATTCTTTTCACAGCACCAAAATCAAAAGTTCGGAAAAAGGAATGTCAAAAGTCTTGAATTTGTTCTGATGAAAGACTGATGCTCCTGGAATGAAATTCTTGGACTGAAAGCTGTGGATATCATTGAAGCAAATATATATATATGCTGTTCTTAACCTGTGGGAAAGTGGTCTCTCATCATTTGCTCTTGTAAAGGAAGAAATGAACACTTTCTGAAAGTTTGACAAGTTTATACACCTGTTAGCTTTTCCACAGCCTGAAAAAACATTTTAAGAAGGGGAAAAATTAAACATTGAGGTTTTAGAAATGAGTAAGCAGTCGATGCTCTTTTTACTCCAACTTTTAAATCCAGCCCAGGAAAGGGCTGACTTTTTGAGACTATGTCTGGAATTGGTGTCCTGGTGTGTGCGTCTGGACTGGCGTGCGCCACGCTGTGGACACCTGCTTTGGGCTTGGTATTTTAGAATCAAATTCTTCATTTTTGAAGCAGCTATTTTCATCCAAGGTGTCAGGGGCCTATGACTTCCTTGGATATTGCATATGAATTATTTAATATAAACCATAATTACATGAGCCTTTGGAAACTATTTTTTTGGCTTCAGTTTCACTTTCTTTAGAAAGTCTGGAGAAAACTTATACTATAAAAACCAGTGCTTTACTGTCATTCTAAAATGATAGCATATTGCTATCATACAATCTCGTTTATGTCTTCTTTGAAGATAATAATCTTAGAAGATACAAGTGTTTGAGTGGGGCCATTCCTCCTTTCTTATTGAACAGCTGGACAGTGTGTGCCCAGCTCTGTTGGTTCATTGAATTAGTGAACCAACAAAGAGTCCTGCCCTCATGGTGCTTGTATTCCAGCAGGGAGACATAACAAACATACTAGGTACACAGTATGTTAGTGATAATTATGGCAAAAAGAAAAAGATCAGGTTAAAAGGGTGGGTGTCCCTTCAGGGTTGCAAATGCTGGTTGCAGAATTAAATAAAAGGGCTAGTTTAATCTGAAATTGGGTAATGATTTCTTTTTACAAAAACTCAGATGGCAATTGAAAAAGCAAAGTACATAGGATCAAAGAATTGCATCTGGGAGCACACAGATTTGCCTCCTGGAAAGACATAGTGTGTGTGTGTGGGGGGGTTGGGGGGGGTTCGTGGAGGAGGCAGGTCAGGGGTGTTAATGGGAAAAGGAGAAAAATGAGATAAGGGGTTAAAGTGAAGTTAATTCCTGACTACGTGATTGGTTCTGATTCTGTAGAAAGGATGAAGAGGGAAATTGATTGATTGATTCAACCTTTTAGTTATACGTCCATAATTATCACTGCTAGCCAGTGGTTTTCTTGCTGGTTTTTAACACAATTAGTTTGGGTCCAGTCCAGTGTCTTTGCCCGGTTCAATGAGACAGCATTGCCGTTTCTTTGCACTAGCTCCCTGGTTCCATTTCAAAGTGGCTTTACAGATGACAACTTTTAAGAAGAATTTCAAATCTAAAGTTTTCCTATGTGAACACAGCCCTGGAAAAGATTTTCAGCGGCAGGAGTGCTGGTGTTTGCGCTTGACAGCGGGAAGGGGTGACCAGTGCTCACTGGCCAGCCAGGCTGGGGTGCACCACCTCTGTCCAGAAGGGGGCCTCACGGCTCCATGGGAAACCGGCCCGGCTCCCTGCAGGGCTGCTCCTCCTGGGGTGCATTTCTTCAGTGGATTCATTTCCTTGATGGAAAGCATCTGTATTTGTTGGTTCTGCCATTTGAGCGCTGTCTCCGACTTGTTTGTTTTGAATTACATTACAGGCTGGAATGTAATTGTGGTGAAAGTATTTTTATATTGCTGAGAGTAGCAGCTAATCACAGTTACATGCTTCAGAGGATTTATAATTGCTTGGTTTTGTACGTGTGTGTTTTTAACTGCATTTGAGAAGTTTTATGGAGAAGAATATGCATGATTTTAAATCTATAATGATGTTCCACGTGCCTTCTTTTCAATTTCACCTACTTTAAAAATTAGCTTCTCATTAAATTTTAGTGCTTTGACTAGTTTATCCCTCTTTGCAGTTGCTCATAATTCATTTCTGGCTCCTATGCCATCCTGCAAGCAGATTTCATCACATTGATGGTCTTTATATCATTTTCTTAGGGATGATTTGTAGACAAACAACCTGGAATCTTTTCCTTGGAGGCTACCACTTAGTAAGCATTTTATACCAAGTAGTTTCTTTGTCAATATTTGTTAAAGACAATTATTAGTTGACATATGAAAGAAAGTGAGTAATAAGATAAAAAGCCAAAAATAGTACATGGGTATTTTAAGTCACAGTCACTAATAAGGGATCAAGAAAATATCTTGGGACAGGGAAGGGACTGCACATATTTATCAATAGACACATGTTCCTTGTAGAGCTTTGGAGCAGGGGAATTGCCACATTCCTGTGTATGGCTGAAAACTTCAATTTTGGTTTATGACCTTTTTGAGTGTCTCTCCAGTGACTGACTTAGAGAAATAGGTAGCTTCTAAATTTTTGGTTGTGGGCAGTTTCCTCCATTACTTTGTGAGAAAAATCAGTTTAGACAGTGTGTTCAGATTGGAAGTCGGTGCCTTTAGTTCCAATGTAGGTCCAGTGTGCGGTCAGGAACACAAAGGCTGCAGGATTCTGACAGCAGTGTGAAGTGTTGGCAACGAGTTATGGATGCACAGTGAGGAGACCCGCTTCCAGGTACTTTGACAGGCTTAAATTAGGAAGATGCCCAGTTCAAAACATGGAATTGATCAATTGCTGTAATGGTGCCTGTCTAAGGGACCAGTTGAAAGACCTGTTTTGCATATGAGATAATTCTACAATTTGTGGGATAAGAACAAGTTTTCAGAATCACTGTCCTGTCTAGAGAAATTAGTAGGGAATGATTGTATCTAAACTGCTAGAGTCGCCAGTGCTTGCTGATTTTTACAACGGAGACATGGTGGTATGTGGTGCTTTGGAAGACTTCAATCACTGATAAAACATGTTAAAATATCTTTGCACTTCTTTGTTACTTGGCACAAGCATCTCTTTCTTCCTGTGTTGTAATTGGAATATCATGGAACAAAAATAGCCAAGAACTCCAGTATAGGCAAGAACTATTCATTTTTTTGTTTGAATTCTCTATTTGGAAAATTTCAGACTTACTGAAAAGTTGCAAAAATACCCACCTATCTCTTATTCTTTTTTTTTTTTTGGAAAGATTTATTTTATTTATGCACACAAGAACTAGGGCGTAGGTCAGAGATGAGGGAGGTGAGATGATTCACTAGACACAGAGTAGAAGCAGAACAGGCTGAAGGGAACAGCAGACAGGAGAGATCTGCCGTGCCACGTGGGTCAGCGCCCTGGCTGGGGCTTGAACTTGTGCTGCAGTGATGCAGATTCTTTCATAGTGCTAACCCCTTGCACCACCAGGGAGACCCATATCTATTATTCTTTAAACCTGTTAACATGTTATATTGTCAGCTTTATCCTTTGTCTTATTCTGTGTATGTATATATGTAGTTACATGTCATTATGTCATGAATTTTTCCTTGAAAAAAGTTCAGTATTTCCAAAGCGCATATATATATATATATATATATATATATATATATATATATATATATATATATATACACACACACACACACACACACACACATATATATATTTTAATCACAATGCAGTAAACTTGACACTGGAGTGGTACTTTCATCTAAGTTAGTATTTGTACTTTCATTTTGTCTGTTGACCCAGTAATGGTCTGTAGATAATTTCCCCCTATTCTCCTGCAATTCCCAACCCATCGAAGAGCCTTATTGTATTTAGTTGTTATGTATCTTTAGCTTCTTTATGTTAGAACACTTCCACAGTGTTTTTTTGATTGTATGACATTGGCATTTAAAAAATAAATGTGCCAACCTGCTCTCCTACTTTTTCTTTTTTATGGCATTTTTCTCACTATGAGATTCAGTCTGTGTGTTCCAGGTGATGATAGGTGTTTCTTTCTTTCTTTCTTTCTTTTTTTTAAAGATTTATTTATTTGTGCATACAGAGCTGGGGTACAGGCCAGAGGCTCAGGGGGCAGTGAGAGGCTTCACCAGAGACAGAGTGGGGAACAGAACAGGCAGATCTACGAAGTACACTGCTGAGGGGAGCAGCGGTCGGGCCAGGAGAGGTCTGCCACACCATGTGGTCACCTCTGGGGCAGGTGGGAATCGAACTCATGCGGAAGTGGCTTTAGCTTCTCAGTGCTGTGCTTTAACCCACAGCGCCACCAGGGAGGGCCCATAGGTGTTTCTTAATGTCACCTTTAGAGGCACCCAAAAGCCAGCTGTTCCTTCCCTCACTGGTGATAGTAATTTTGGTCACTTGGTGAAGATGTTGTCTGTTTTTCTACTATATAATTGCTGCTGACTTTTTTTTTCTCCTTTGCAACAAATAAGCAGATCAGGGAAAGGAACTTTACCACATTTTTATAAGAGAGTTTATTACACACTGATGGGAAGGAGAAGAAAATTAATGATATAAATTTCACAGCAATTATTCAATTATTTGACTAAGCTTTCTTTTTCCATGATGTCTGATAATATTTACAATATTTTACTTAATGAGAATACATTAAATAAAATGCCTTATACAAATTAAAGGACAATATCAGAAATACATTCTTTCTCTCCTGATCTCTTCTCTGAGAGTAATAATTACATCTGTTTAATTATACCCAATACGATGGAGTTTTGCAAAAACAGGACTAGGATATTTCTGGTAATACAGGCTGACCTATAGGATGTATATTGCTAGGTAGGTAGTCATTTGGCCATAAAATGAATTCTCTTGGGTTTCCATAGAGACATCTAAACTTAAAATGTGTTAAACACTGCCTCTTCCAAAATGAGTGTCAGTAGAAATAGTAGAAGCCAAGTTTCCTTAAAACACACACACACACACACACACTTTCTTTCCTTTTTATTTTTTTTATATATTTTTCCTTTTTATTTTAAGTAATGAGATTCCTGGTTAAAAGTCCATGAGGAAGCCAGAGCTTGTCCTTCCCAGTGGTTTTTGTATCAACTGGCCTTGAATAGCCTCGGGGAGAAGAGGCATCAGGAACTGGGATCCCTTGCCTTTTGGCCAAAGAATGAGGCTGCATTGACTTCATCTATGAAGACAACTGCCAACTATTTTCTTACTCCATAAATTGTTAATTGTGTGTGGTGAGGAAAGGGGTGATGGATGATGTTATTTTCACCGGTAGGATTGTCAGAAATTCTGGTGGAAGTTTGACATCTAAGTTTTACAAGTTAAGCTAATAAAAATAAGCTCATGGGATTATTTCTCACCTGAGTTTATGTTTTAAGTTTTTAAAGGATTTATTTATTTATGCATACAAGAACTGGGGTAGTCAGAGGTGGGGGGTTGAGAGAATTCACCGGAGACAGAGTGGGGAGTAGAACAGGCTGATCTCCTAAAATACATTGTTGAAGGGAGTAATGGGTGAGACTGGAGAGGTCTGCTGCACCATGTGGGTCA